AGGGTCCAGGCCAGCGAGGTCAGGGGACAGGCGTGTGACTGTCAGACGAGCCGGGTACTTGTTGAACAGGTCCGAGGTGTCGCGGACGATCGTCTTGATGCCAGAAGCGAACTTGGGGCGAGCGGTATCGAGGAACTCCTCAATGAACTGTGCCGTGTCGTCAATGACCTTGTCGACACCGCGCTGCCAGCCCTGGACGGGCGGTGGCAGGGAACGTTTGATAAACTTGGTCAGGCCGGCTTCTTGGCGGATGCCGCGACCATACGTCTTTTGCATGTGCGGCTTCTCAATGAAGTTGATGAAGCCCAACGTAAACAGCTGGCTGACCAGGGCCATGACGAAGATGGCCCTGCTCCATGTGATGAGGGCAGAACCCCAGAGGCCAGCAGTGCCAAAGATGCGCTCGGGGTTGTTGAGGAAGCGGTAGATGGACTTGTACGTGAGTCTGGCGGTGGAGTCGTAAAAGAAGTCACCATAGAACCAGCCAAACTCGCCGAGGGAGTCGTAGACGCTGATGAACGTCCAGACTTGAAGGGAAACGAGCCCGGCGCCGACCACGTGCTTGAGGAGGACCCAGCCGTACGCCCAGTCCTCTGGCGGCGAGTACATCTTCCAGCACGCGGCGATGAAGGATCCAGTGCACATGACGGAGCTCAGGTGGTACATGCCCTTCCACTGATTCCAGGCCTCGGTGTGGCTCTCGCCATACTTGAGGAAGTGTCTTGTCCAGAACTTATTGCGAGACTGCCACGCGAGGATGGCGCCCAGGCCAAGGTGGTACCACACGCGCCAGAACAGAGCATGCAGCAAGAACAGGACTTGGTACAGCGACGTCGACGGGGTCACAATGGTCAGGACAGCCATGTAGAAGCCAAGCAACAGAACCGAGGTGTCTGTGATGCGGAACAGGTCGAGGTTGTTCAAGCCAATCAAGTTGTGCACCTGCGCGGGCGCCTCGGGCGACGACTCCTGGGCCGTGGCGGCCTGGTCAACCAAGATTTCTTCGTTGTCTGCCGACTTGATGGCGACGAGCTCCGGCTGGCCGGTAAGCGGCGTCGAGGCAGTGCGCTTACGCGGGGCAGGCGGGTTGTACGTCTTCTCAATGTGCGGATTCTCAACAACGACGAGGAAGGCGAATTGGGCGAGATGGGCAATGATTGAGATGAAGAGGACCTCGTAGCTCGCAGCCATCATGGAGATACCGTAGTAACCGGCATAGCCAATGGAGTACATGGGGTGCGGGGCCATCTCAAAGACGCCGTCAAAGGTCAGCTCCTGGTCGACAAGGTAGAAGAAGTCACCCCAGTACCAAGCGTAGTCTTTGACGACGCGGTGGGCGTCCAGCTTGACCCAGAGATTGAAGAGGACCAAGAGGATGCCGATGGACCATCGTCCAACACCGACAAGAGGGTTCTCGCCGGCGGGCGTGTGGCCACAGATGACGGCAAAGAGGCAGTAGGAGACAAAGTCACACATCAAGATTAGATCGACGACACGGCGGAAGACTAGCCAGGTGTTGTACTCCATGGGAGCTTTCTCGAACTCGTAGTCCTCGGGGATCTTGGCCTCGAGCTCACGCTTCAACATGTTGTAGAGCCAAGGGCGGGGCTGTTTTCCCGAAGAGGGGTGCTCAAAGAGCTTCCATCTCAGGGCCCACGTCTCCAGTCTGCGGTGGTTGGACTGGATGGTGAGGAGGTATCCGATGCCAATGTTGTACGAGGCTCGCCAGAAGAGGAAGACGAGGGCGAACAAGGGGCGCTTCAGGTTGCCGGGCACGAAATAGGCCGCAACAATCTGGAGGGCGAGAATGGCCAAGACGAGCACATCGGAGAGGTTCTTGGGCTGTCTCGGGTCGAGCAGCTGCGACACCATGTCGTGCGTGGTGGGGACGGTGAAGACTAGCAGACAATCGTCAGCAGACAACAACTAACTGACCTCCATCACCACGAAGCCTACCTGTGCCATCGGGGGTTCGGCCAAACGTCTTGTTGGGCTTTTGCTCCAAGTCTTCAGACTGGTCGTCCGCGGCGGTTGAGGGGTTTAGATCATCCTCGATACCAGCCACGGACGTCCGCCTCTGGCGCTGACGCAGAGAGCCAGCATCACTTGCGAGGGGCGCGGCGGAAGAGCTCATTCTAGGCCGGGGCAGCAGCAGCGTAGCAATTGACGATGCCGGTGGAGGGGTTTTAGGTTATTTCACACGCAGGGGGGTCGGTAAGGGCGTTGTGCGATGATGATTCTGTTGCTCAGGCTGTCCATGAGCCGCCAGTGTCAAGATTGAAAGGGGAAGGTTCTGTATGTGCGAGAAACGCAGGAGCGGAAGCAGTGCAAGAGGAGAGGAGCGAGAAGAGGCGAAGAAGGCAGATGTTGGGAAAGAAGGACGACGTGGAAGAACGTCACAGACAAGGGTTGAGGTTGCAGCTGGAGGTTTCCAATGGGAAGCAGCGTTGCCCAAAGGAAGGTACTCCATCCGGTAAGGTGAATGAACGGCAAGGAGGCACTTGCCGCACTTACACTGTACAACCAGCCCCACTAGCCCGGCGGGTTAGGTTTGGTTCCTTCTGATTTGGATTGGTTTGAATTGAGAAAGCCCGCTCGTCCCGCAACTGTTGAATTCGTCCTAAGGGTCGCTTTACTCGCTACTTGGTCTACGTACTGTGGGGAATGAGGAAAGTACACTTGATGAACTTGGCATGTGATCCGCGGGCAACTGCAACACTTTGGACACTGGACATGGAGTGAAGTTGAGCATTCCAGCCGCCTGCGTGACTCAGGACCGGCAGGAGCTCTCGAAAACGCAGAAGGTCCAATGAGAGGTGCCACGGATGACATCCGACTTACATGTTGCTTCTTACTGTAGTACCTACGCAACCTCACCTCGAGGTAAATATTTGGTGAACAAAGAAATAAAGCTGCCGACCATCACTGGCACTGTACGGACGGGTCTCAGACACCGCTCGCACACGTGTAATTACTGGTTGCCCTAAGCACCCCTGCGCAGGGTAAGATGTTGAGAAGGGAAGGAAAAATCCTTCAACCTTCCAGCGTCTTCCCCCTCGTTCGAGCGGGAAAGCGCGAATGCGGGAGATGCAGCAGCGCCTTCTTCGTGCCTGTATACCATTGGTACCTCAGGCAAGAGCTGCAGAGCGACCTACCTTCCTCTACAAGTCTACAGCGTGAGCGCGCCACAGCTAGCATAGGTGCGGGGCTCTTGCCTACGGTTAGCGGAGCAGACGGTCTAAACCTATACGGCTCTAGCGTCGCTGTGCTCTGAGCGCTTTAAGCGACGCTCGGGCCAGCTAATGTACAAGCTCACTTGGAATCATGCACGTGCCGATAGGAGACCTCGACGATAAGCTTTGAATCAACAAACATCGCAGTATCCCAGGGCACTTTGACGACAGGCCGGCATTTCGAGTGATGGTCATGGTCAACACTGCAATCGAATCAGATGACGATGGTGTGTAACATTGATCAAACCCGTTGCATCAGCAATACCCAAGACCTAGGCTGCTCAAGCTCTAAGCGGAGCCAGCGAAGAAGACCCAGACCACAGGGAAACACCCATCACGAAGCAGAACGACATGAACCCTTTCCATCAACATCCCTTCACCCAAATCACGCGAATCCAAGCGCGCCACGCGTTTTGATTCTGTTGTCATGCTACCAAAGACAACGCCCGTGGCCATTCATTCGCCAAGCGGCTTCCATGATGGAGGCATCCCTGGACGGCTGTCCGGGGTACGCCGGTCGTTTGCATGAACTTCTAGAATGACTACCATCAAAACACAACCCACACCACCAGGGGCCCTTTCTGGGATCCGGATCAAATCAAATTTGTCGCGTTTTTTTCGTTATGTACTTTTGAAATGGTAGAATGGGTGCATGGCTCGGTAGTTGTATAAAGACGAGCCGGAAGAGTCACCGGCCCTCCTTTGCTTTACAAGTGATTTTTGCTCACCAAACAGTCTATAGCGACTTGTACACATTCGTTCCATAACCACATACAAACAAAGAGCTCTTATTAATTACAACCCTGATCGATACCAAAAATGGCCCGCGAAACCCCAACGTCCTCTATCGCCGGCGAATCAAAGCCCCTCCCCAAACGCCCCGGCACCTCGGGCACGGAAAACCTCCTCAAGACGAACCGCCGCCAGGCATCAGACCACTACCAGCGCGCCCAGCGTGCCGAACGCGCCTACCGCGCAAAGAAGCGCGCCACCGCCGCCCGCGCCGACCTCTCGGACGCCAAATCGCACTACGCCGAATGCTTGAAGCACCTCAGCCGCGGCCTCGCCGTCACCTTCAGCGCCGTCAAGTCGCTCCCCTACGTCTTTGACGAGCGCCAGGAGGCGAGCCGCCAAAAGGCCGAGGTCAAGAAGAAGCAGCGCGCCCTCGAGAAGAAGAAGAAGCTCGAGGAGAAGCTCGCGAGGGAGAACGCCGAGGCTGTGGCTGCTGAGGTGGATGCCCCCGCGGATGGTGATGCCCCTGCTGCCGAGGAGGAGACGCCCGGTGCTTGATGGACTATTCGCAGAGTCGAGTCGATTACGTGGTTAAAGGGGATCAGAGACTGAGGTCCTGATGGGCCCTCTGTGCGAAGAGTTCCCTCTTCCTCGCCGCTTGGAACTTGCTCTGCGACGGGATCCTCCGTTCGCGCCGGCGCGACAATGACATACATCGACCTAGCAGCTTCATCGACATTATCAGTACATCGACAACCACCAGAGATGGCAAACACACACCTCTCGCTTTCGCCCTCGAGGCACCCACACTCGCTTTACTTCGTCCACAAGACACCAAACCATACCAAACAACCCCCCTTTTCCTTTTCTGTCTACATCTCCTACGACTTGTATCGTCTGTTCGAATAACACTTTCACGGCCTTGAACGAGATAATGATGACGGAACCAACACGAAGACGGATCTCTTCCCTTAATACACAAATCTCTACACCGACGGGGAGTCTCGGCTATACGTGTTTACATCCGGCGTCTCAAAAGATCTACTTGTTTTTGTAATCATCGTTTCCTATCTTCATACCACTTTTCTTTGTCCCTGTCTAAGTCAGTGTGCTTTTTGCTTTCGAGTTGGAGAAGAAAAGGGGCCGAAATGGAGTCGAGTCTGGGTTTCCCATCAGATACCTGCTTTGCATTAGTTATAGAAATTCAATCATGATTATGCTTAACATCAGTCTCGTGAACCGTGATCGTGTGGACGCTGTAGTCCTTGCAATGGCTGCATTGCCGCGCTTGGTGGCGTTATCAGAGTCCCGTGAGATCATGTCTTTGCATTTCCCATGAAGAGAGAGGAAATAAAAAACGAGGGATAAAAAAAACTACCGTTATCCCCAAAACGGATGCCAAATTTTTGTAAACCCGTTGTGCCGTAGCCGTGTCTCCAGTAGTAGCATCAAAACATTCGTTACCGCAACCGCCATCACTTCCACCCCCAACATCAATCATCACCCTCCAACTTAGGCCGCCTTCTTGGCAAACTCGACTCTGAGAATCAAGTGCTTGAAACCGAAACCGTCCATCTTGGCCGCGGCCTTGACGGCGTCGCCCCGGTCCGCAAAGCTGATGAAGGCGAAACCCTTGGCCAGTCCCGTCTCCCTGTCCTTGGCGAGGAACACGCGCGTGACGCGTCCGAAGCGCTCAAACATGTCGCGAAGCTCCTGCTCCTCTGCCATCTCCGAAACCTGTTTATCATCGTCAGCATCATTACCACCAGCACGCCTCCGTCGTCAAAGACAGATGCTGCATCATCATCATCGGGGGTACGCACGTTGGTGACACGCAGCGTGGCAAGGTCATCCCGCTCGCCGTACTTGCTGCCTCCCATCCTATCACCCGCAGCCGAGCCGCCAGCCGCACCAGCACGCAGCGCCGGTGGGACGTAGCTGCCCTTCTTGGCACCGACACCACCAGCGCCTCCAGCGCCGCCAGCCGCGGGGGCAGGATCGTCCGGCATGCCCGCAGCGACGTCGGCGCCGTCGGCACCGACGGGCGCCATGGTGTCCTTGTACGGGCAGCGGGCCGTGAAATGCTCGCCGTTGCAGATACGGCACTTGACCTGCTTGTCCTTGAGCTTGTCCTTGAGGGCCTGGGCGCCGGGGTCCTCGCCCGCCTCCTTCTCGTCCTTGCGCCAGTTCGTGCTGGGGCGGAAGATGATGTTCTCGCCGACCGAGGTGGTGTCGGGCGCGGGACCGGCGGGATCCTTGGCGCTGAGGCCGAACTTGGACCACGTCTTGCGGTCGGCGACACGGGGGTTCACCTTTTCGGTGTGCGTCGTGTAGCGGATGCGGCGGGTCATTTTGACCTTTTTGCCCTGGTCATTGTAGCGGAAGGTGATGATTGTCTTGGTGCCGTCCTTGTTGCTGATGGTCTGGGGCGCGGGGAGCTCAGTCGACGTCTCCTCGACGTCTTCGTCGTCGGCCCAGTCGTGCCTGGATGAGGGGGTGCGAGGTTAGCTAGCTGTTCTCTTTATTTTTTCCCTCCTTCTCTCTCCCTTTCGTTCGGATGCATTTGTGTGTGGGGAGGGTCGGCGTACTTGGTCTTGGGCGTAGCCATGTTGGGCAATATAATCTTCTCGTGTACGTTGTGATCGGATCCCGTTCTCGATGTCGGTCGGATTCGTCAGAGGTTTTGCAGTCCTGAAGCGGGTTGTCGCGATGGTCAAATCAGTGGTGGGGTCCAGAACAGGAGGAATTTTGATGTTGATTGATTTTCGTGGTGCGCCACCGGAGTTGGTGTGGGGCAGATGGCGCTAAGCCCTTTTCGGTCTCGCAACCGTTACCTCAGCCTCACAGCGTTTCGCCGACAGCACACGCACTCCGGATCGTCTCACACTCATTGCAGTCTTCTTGATTCATCAGATATCTCCTAATATTGTACTGCCTCAGAGGCATAGTCTACTACTACAAGTCATACACTGCGTCATCGGGCCCCTCGCAGGGAAATCTATCGCCTTCTCCCTTGTCATCCACAACCAGCCGTGAGATGCACGTTCACCGTTGAAAAAACACTCCGAATGCCGTCCCGATGGCATATCATGGAGAGGGCGCCTTTTCATCCAAAAACGCCGATTTGCGCAGCAAAGGGGTATGACGCAAACAGCAAAAAATAATCAAGAGACATAGGAGATGTAACACCCGCGCCACCGTGGGCGGTTTTTATAGGCCGTGGCCTGAAAAGATAAGGAAAAATAGGTGGTCACATGAATCGAATCAAGGTGAATGACAGGTAGGTCACGCTTTGGAATGAGAGCGTGCCTTTTGGGGGATCGGTGGCAGCGCGCAGCTTGGCGGCGGTGCCGGCGGAGGTCCTTCGACGAGCTGAGGCATACTGCGTCTTCCCAAGACGACCTTGGAGAGGTCAACTCGGAGCTGCTTGCTTGACGGGATAGGAGGTGTAATCGGAGCCCGTGGCATGGTTCTGGGCGACACAGAGGGCGACTCGGGGAGAATCGGGAGCCCAGTGGTGACGTCCTCGCTCCGGGGCGAGTAGCTCATGACGGAGTGTGCGCTGAGTCTCTGCGTGGCCCTCTGAGCGGGAGACTGGAACACAAACGACGACTGCGGGCGAGGAGATGTGTGGGAGGGTTCGCTCGACGAGGCCGGAGACGGCGTCTTTGACGGGAGGATAAAGGTACGGAGTCCCGGCGAAAGAGGCGACCCTTCCAGCTGGTTCAGAGACGGCGAGCTGGCGTACTTTCGCGGGCTGGTGCGGATTTTCACCGTGACAGCCTGCTCCTTGGGGCAAAGGCTTGTTTGCCGAGGAGGGAACCCAGTCATGCTGTCGCGGCTCAGAGTCGGGCGCTCCCGTTCTTCTTCGCACACTTGCGAGAGTTCGGGTGCCTGCGCCGGAGACGCCGGTGACGGCTGATCCGCCACGATCGACAACGGGCGAGCCATGGCGAGTGCCGTTGGCGGGGGCTTGCGGGCTATCCGAGAGATGGAGTCGCGGTTGCTCCTCGTCTGCTCGGGGCTCGACGAGGGGCTCTTTACGGCGCTGTACCGCCGGCTCATGGGAACGCTAAAGTTTGCGGCCACATGCGCAAAGTCGGCCTCGTTGTAAGTGGACTGAGGTCGCGACATGGGAGAGCCGCGCAGCTCCAGGTAGCCTGACGTCTGCAGGGACTGTCTGCGGTCGAGGATGGCTGCTGCGTTGGGTCTGGGTCTCGCGGCAGGCAAGTCATGCTCTGCCGGGGGGAGGTCGTCTAGGTGGCTGCTGGCGAAGCTGTCGCGCACGGGGGAGCATGCGGGCGAGGAGCCGGCCGAGGTAAGAAAGGTACGTTGGCCAGAAGAGATGTACGAAAGCCGGTTGGTGCTGTCACGCAGGCTCTCGAGCTGCCGGCCGTCGTGGGAAATGATACTGTTGGTGGTGGAAATGTCGTCGATGGAGGGGTCGCGCGTCATCTCGGCGTCAATGATGGACTGGCGGCGGTCGTCCTCGTGAAGTCTGGCCTGCTCCAACTGCAGAGAGAAGTCTGGAGGCAGCGCTCGCGAGAACCTATCCGGATCCCGTACAACCAGGGTCCTCTGACTCGGCTGCCCGCGAAGCTGCACGATCTTGGGATCCGCCTTGGGCCTTCCGGTCTCTGAAAGGGTCTTCTTTCCGCCGAGGGACTCGATTTCCCGGCGCAGGATTGCGATCCAGGACTCCATCTCTTCGGCGCTCTCAAAGACCATGAGGAAATTGGAGGCGTGTCGCTTGTCGGCGGCGCGGAAAGGCAGGCGAGACAGCAACCCACGCGAATCGGCCGACGAGACACCATTCGACTCCATGGCCGAAGATACTTGGAGGACCCAGTGCTTGCCGGGGATCGCATCGCTGACAAACGCGGCCGAGTCCTTGCTGAGATGCAGCACCTTCTCCGGGAGACGATCAAAGTTGCCGTCGCCATTGTACTGCAGCAGGTATCCGGATGTGCAGAGGACGTAAATCTTGGAGGTCCATTCGAGTCTGACGGTAGACAGCGTTCGTAGGTGCTTCCTCCGCTTCTCGACTGCTCTGTCGGCGAGCTGCTCCTCAGCAAGCTCGGGGGTAAGGGCGAGGTGGGCTAGGTCCTCTCGGATGCTGACGCTGCCCTTGCGGTCCGTCAGGCGGAGGATGACATCGGCGGAGGTCGTGGCCGTGGGAAGCTGGGCGTGTTTGATGGCTTGGGGGTATGCCTGGAACAGTGGTGGGGGATCCCAAGTCGCGAGGTTGCCGCGAGATGACCTCGCGGGGGCGTTTTGTGACTTGGTCCTTTCGGTAGTGGTGGGCCGTCTTTGGAGGGAAGCGTCGTTGAACGGCACATTGTTGGTTGCGACGGACGTCGGTCCTGATGTGTTTGGTCCGGATATGGCGAGTTCGGATCGCATATACGGCCAGTTGCTGATTTCCGCCAGCGAGGCGCGGATGCTGTTGGGACGACCCGTGTCGAAATACGAGGCCGAGGGGTCGATTTCGCGGGCAACCTTTGCCCTGCCAAAGATGCTCCTCAGTCCCAGTCTCGAATCGCGTCTGCTAAGCCTATTTTCGGAGCGCAAAGGAACACGGTTCGAGGAATCTGCGGCGGCGGGTTCAACGGCGGGCGGTCGTGCTCTGCGGGACTGTGTCGCGCGGTACTGCAGCGTTTCCGCAAAGTTGGCAGCACTAGGGCTGCTTGGCTCGACATCGGCCATGGCGTGGTTTGTAAGAAATGTACCTAGCCAGACGGTCGTCGAGAGAAGTTTAGACGGGTGTTTGTGAGAGTGGCGGCCCCCGTGATGAGAGCGCGGGCGGTGACGTGAGTATAAGACAGATGGAGTGGAAGGCGAGGATGCGCATGGGCATAACAGAAGACGATGGGTGGATTTGGCAGTGTGAGTGGTAGAGCTCGGTAGGCATGAAAAACAATTGACTGTTGGCAGGGTTTTGAAGTGGAACCTTTGGGACCCTGGCTTTTTGAACCCCGGCAACAGTCCGTCGGGGTGGGTTTGGAAGCGATTAAGGTCTGATGAGAAGGATGTTGTGAGGGGAGGCCAAAGAGACGAGCGAGAAATTGGTGTGTGATATCTCGTTTTCCTGCGTGGCGGCGAGTCCGATATGGACGGGGTTTGCGTGTGTAAGACCGTACTATTGCAAGTAGACGACGGCGGTTGGAGGCTGAAAGTTGGAGGCTGGCTTGTACTCTTTTGGTGTCGACAGAAAGAAGCAATTCACAGAACTGTGTTGGTGGTTGGTTGAGAAGTTGGTGGTGGGTACGAAGTGCGAAGTTGGACTGAGAGGGCCTGCCTAACCGGGCCAGCTGCACCAAAGGGGGTAGGGTCAGAACGGCAGATGGGGAAGAGAAGAGAAAATAAATCGAGGCAGCACTCGCGAGAAGCATGAAATGGGAGGGCATTCGGTGATAATAATAATAATAACAATAATAACAACAATGGGGGAGGGGGACGTTGACCACGGATGTGCGGTGCAGCGTGGGTACACCCAAGGTAAGGTACCTAGCAAAGTAGGTGGGCAGGTACCTCTAGGTTCTAAGTGTGAGCTCGGCCACTAGGCCAGGTAGGTGGATTTTACTTTGCCGTTAGGGGAGCTGCTAGCCTAGCACAGGCGCACCTGCTCAAGCACAGGCATCACAGGCGCAAGCGCACCCGCTGCACACTGCACCTTCCCTTGCCCGTGGTCTGCAAGATACGTACCCCGGATGATTTCCACCTCAGTCCTCAGGTTTCCTCACCTTGCCTACCACCTTAGAACTTAGGTACCCAGGTACGGAGTATATTGGATTATCTATCCTCCCGCCTTCACCTCACCTAGCCTCAGCACGCTGACCTTCAGTGCCTGAGTGCCTACGACGCTGCTCCTCTGCCCCATCCGCTTTGGCTCCCGATGACGAGGGGAGGGAGAGACGCCGAGAAGACAGCGCGTCCGCCGTCCCACCTCAGCATCCCACGTCTATCCGCAAGCTGGCAAGCTGGGAGCTGGTAGCCGGAGCTTAGGGAGCGCTGGACCCCGTCAGCAGCCTCCACCAAATCTTCCTTGAACCTTGCCCATCCTTACTGCGAACAGGCTACGGATGGCTAATCCTTACAGATACCCTTTCTTCCTTGGTGACCCCTTGCTTCGCGGGCCCCCGGCAATACGTCCAATCATTCAGCCCCGTCCCGTCCCATGTAGCGAGCCCTGCACAGCGGAAGCAGAAGCAAAGGGCAGACTTTGGGGCCTCAGACGCTCTGTAGTCATAGGCTGCTGCGCGAGTACGAACTACAAAGTTACGGATACACACTCTGTACAGTAGTCCCGGCAATGAGCAGAGGGATGGATTCAGCGGCACACCATCGCCATGTTCGGCACTCTCGGACAGGGGCACTCGGGGATCAACGAAGCTGAGCCTGGGGTTGGGGAAAAGGGAGTGAAAACTCTTCAAATTGACAATTAGCTGGCTACAAGAGCAAGCGAGCAACAGTGTCGAGAGCCTGTGCAGGTCTACGGATACTACGACATTGGGCAAGTCACTCTTTGCATCCTGACCGGCACCCATGACACGCTTGGCGAGAGAGAGCCCTGGACTATTTACAACCTGGGAAGTTGCAACTGAGATGGCCTCTTCTCCTTTGGGATCCCCTGATGCCCGAATCCATCTTTAGGTCGTGTGCCCGCCGCGTTCGCGACCCCTGGTCGATACTACCAGAGATATCTCGGGTTTGGGGCCGGACGGCAAATGAAAGCCTCAACCGAAAGAGGCGCGACCAACTGACAATCTCAAAGTGACACCTTGACAGTGAGGGCGAGGCCTGGGTCGGTTTTCGCCGGTCGGCAGCTCCAGCACCCACGAAATGACGATACGACACCGGTGTTCTGTCTTTTGGTGATCCCTCTGAGATTGGGCTTCCGAGGTACGTACCCTCGATAAGACGCAGGGCGCGATGCTCTCAACCACCTTGCAACCACCTTTCCTCTACTTCGTATACAAAACGTACCAGAGAAGAGCAACACTGAGCTGAAGCGTTCCATCGCTACACGACTGCGGTTGCCCACGAGAGGTGTTCACAGCATTCATCATCATCCGTGCAACCACACCCAAACAAAAACAAGAAATACTTCGTCTCTTGTTGCCATGTACAGTCGTGCGCGGAGTACAGGTTTCCCATGCCAAATTCACAATCCGAAAGCTAGGTCACCCTTGAGACGCGCCAGAAGAAAAGACGAACAGACGCTGAAGGACCGGTGTCCCATGCTCCCTCGTCGTCTGGGGATGTTTTGAGAACACTTCCTTCCTGCCGGTACGTACCGCGAGAAAAGGAAACACGCCAATAAGCCACCCCTACCCGCTCCAACGAATCATCGTCACGAGTTTTGTCCAGATTCCGACGGGGCGGGCAGCTCTGGCCTTTCCTGCAGGGGCAAATAACGACGTTCCATTGCTAAAGTGGCATAGATCCTTGCCTCTCCCCCAATTGCCAAAGATGGCAAAGCTCCTAGTGGCCCACTCATCTACCAACCGCACCGAAGCAGATATCCTGGAACGGAAATGTTTTCCCCACCCCAGAGCGAACCACACCTCGAATGTTTGGAAAAGCAAATATATGAAATGAGCTCAAGAGGAAACAAGAAAGGAAAAATCTGCAATAAAGAACCGACATCCCATCTAACTCCTGCGCATCATCAGTCATGAATGACGACTGACGAGTCACACCATATTCATCACCACCAACATGGCACAGCCTCTGCCACCGACGTGTTGGAGCTCCCCTCCCGCTTCCTTCAATCCTTTTAATCGACCACCTAGAACCACGAGAACCACTCTGCACAGATGATGGCTTGGGAGCTTTGGGTCCCTGCGCAAAGCCCTTTTCCTTTCTAGCACCGCCATTTCTCATTTCTCCGAGCTCTCGAAACCTTAGCTTCCGACTACTGCCTGAGGTCGCTTGTTCATACCGCGCTTCCCTGGTCTGCCGCTCCCCGTCCCAAGCCTGAGATCATGTTGGTTTCTCCCGGTAGGGTTCGTCGTAGGCGCCGGCGGGGTGCACAACTGCATTCTGGAGAACTGTCCAGCACTGCAGACCCTGGCCTTCCCGTATAACATCGTCGGTCCTCTGCGAACCTTGTGAAGATGTGCATCCTGCTACAGCCCCATAACGCCCCCTTGATGGCAAACCTCTCGTTCCAACGCAAGTTAAACCCCACTCGAGTCGTCTTGCCAAGTCGCCAGTGCCCGCAGCTTCAAACTTGAAATACCCAGCCCCTTGGCCAAGATTGGAGGCGCGGCGAAGCGGATCAACCAACTCAAAGTCCTTGCATTTCAACACCCCCGTCGGTTGTTCGTCGGCCCTGTCTTTCCCCGTGTTCTGTGTCAATCCCCCCCATGGTCCAACACATCGGCGTCTAGAATCACGTTAGCCTTCCTTGCCCTCTGGTGCGATCCATGGCGTCGACTCTTGACACCTTGCGAAACACTCTCGCAAGCCACCATCGCCACTTGGAAGGGCTAACGAGTGGTGATCCTCCATGGAAGGTTGAAGTCAGCAATCCGACCAAGTGTATTGAAACAGACGCGTGACGAGAGCAGATCGTGCGACTTGCGACTCCATGATTCCCAATCCTGCCGAGAGCATCGCATCCTACCGCCCCCAACGTGGGCTGCCTCTGCGTCGGCTAATGTTTGCGAACCGCTCGGCCACTGCAGATGCCATCCAACCCTTCGCGGGACGAAGAAACGCGGCGCTCGTGCAAATACACAGCATCATATCCCAAGCAACGGTGCCCAGAGTGTCCCACGGTGCATCTCTAGGTGCATTTTGCGAGCTAATGCGACTCTGAACTCTTCCCCGGAAACGTTTCCGCAGAACCCGTGGTGTATGAGCGAGATCTGTTCTCGCAGCCAAATTATCCCATATTTTATTTGATGATGGAGAGGAGTTCGGAAGAGGCTCTTCGGCTCGTTCAATATCGAACCGACCCTGTTGATAACGAGGCCGTCGGCCATGCACGCAGGCTCTACCGGATGGGGCCCCGATCTGTGTTGTCCAGGGCTGGCCCCATGGCCGACAGTCGTTTACAGGTTTCAACCCTGTTGTTCGCCTTGTTAGTGTATTGCTGTCTCGGACCAAACAATCAGCTCCAAATGCCAATAACGCAGCGTCCGCAACACAAATCTCGTTGCCGAACGCCGTACAGACCATGGAGAAGAAACTTCCAGCCCTGCCCTAGAGATCGCACACGAAAGACCTGGTGCGATGGTGTTCTTGGAGTCGCGTTGTTCCTGCAGTAGTGTCTTCCCATTTATCCCAGTTATCCATAACCCTCGGGGCCCGACTGGGTCTAAGCCCCTGGTCGCCGGAAAACCAACCAGCGAGCCGGGTTCTTTCGTGTGCTCAAAGCAGGCATGCCCCTGTCCGCAAGGCTACGGCTCCAAGAACCTCTCGTCTTGGTGACTACAAAGTCCGTAAGGCACCCGCGGGCAACGAGCTACTGCAGCAGCATCCGGGCTCATCCGATCGACGCGCCGGCTTGCTTGTGGCGATGGCTGCTCGGTATGGGCGTTGGGATTTGACTTGTAGGGATTGACAGTCTGACCACGTGACGGCTTCAACGTTGTCGTGGTCAGACTGTCAATCCCTACGTATGTAGGTCGTGATGCAGAGATTCGAGATAAGAGAATCGATTCAGAGAGCGGGACCACATCGCCACGTTGCTTATGTCTTTCGTAGTTTTGGCATCGAGGTCTTGAATCTTTCAACAAGGTACTTTGAGGTCTTGTATCTTTGGCCGGGCTGCGCTTGAGCCAGGCTACTGCACATCATGGAATGCAACTGTGATTCAACCGCCTTAGTCTTGCAAATGCCTGCAAGCGTCGGAAACGGGAACATCACGCTCCAAGGCAATCGCTGCGTGCCAACTTGATATTGAGGCTCCCAGTGGTCCAGGGTTCACCACGTGCGTCAACTGCTGCCATGGGCGCGCAGTTGTACGTGCTTCTCCGACACGGCCGAGTGATTTGCAAGCTACGTCCGTAGTCTCAAGGTCTTGAATCGGGGCAGCACGGAAATCAAGTTGGCGGCCTTACTGGCCACATTCCAGCGATGCGTCAACTCGTAAAGGTGCCATGGCGATGTATCCGTATGTCTCAAAGTCAGACAAATCTGATAGCTGTAACGGTCAACTGCGGTAGCCCGGGAGGTTAGCTGATTCGTCACACGGTCCACCAAACGGCCACATCCACAGTGGCGTTTCTTTGTTTGCAGAGACGGCAGTCAGCATGAAGGTGTTTCTCGGATTTTGTCTGGCAGCTTTGGTGAAGCCGAATCGTCAGAAGCGAGACTGATTGCCAGCGAGGCATGTGTTACGCCATTCTAGCTCCGGCATGGCGACATAGACTTTGGGGGCATCGACGCCACCACCCGCTGGCCGGTCCCTCGGGGCTGGAATTCGGAGGCCAACAGCTCTGCCAGGCACTGCACTTGCGGTGGTGAACAAGACCATGGCGGCGCCATGATCGGGAGCGGTCACTGCGACGGTTGCCCAGCCCGGCGGCGTTGGCGGGAGATCTAGCGGCGACATGTCCAGAATAGAAAGCTTAGGCCCCGTTGCGCATCACCTCACCCAGGCGGCGGCTTGCCGCTTGCGCATGGTGCTCACCTGAGACCTGTGTGCTCCAGCTAGAACGGACCCCGACGAGAATATACACCGGAAGATAAACAACGTGAGCCCGCTCGCAAGGCTCTTCGGTGACAGCGCGCCGTCCGGCTTGAGTATCTGTTTCTGGAGGTCCCTTCAGGTGGGAAGCGTACGCGAACAGCAGCCGTGGCTTGCCAAGTCAAGGCGACGTTGAAGAGGTAGGTATAGGCGATTTCAAGGCCCGTGAGTTCGGAGTCAAAGGTGGTTTGCTCGTGATGAGGGAACCGGGGCAAGGCTCAGATTCAGCTGGCAAGAGTCAGGTCGCTGACGAAGGTGGCATCCGGCGTGTGAAGACGGTTGTCAACAGGACCATGGCCTGCTGTAGTCACGGTCTATCCCGGAAGATGGATCATGATGGATGTGGTGCCATCGTCAGGTTACGATGACTAAGAATTTGCAGTTGAAGAAGGTCCCCGTCGCCAGGTACATCAGGCCCTCTGATTGGAGCAAGACGTCACCCTGCCGCCTTAGGTAAGGAAGTCAACCTGGAAGGTACCTTGGTGAGCTGCCCCCCAACCTGGAAGCACCTGCTGCGGTTCGTTGATCGACCGATATCACTCGTGACCTGCAAAAATGAGGAACTCAAGACTCAGGAATCGTCAGTCACCAGACATCCTGAAAGCATGCCACCAATGAATGTGTTCGGCCTTTGACGCCCTTTGTTATCCTCTGAATCCTCCAACCTCCTGTGTTCTTCAACCACTTCCAGCTCCCATAGCTCCCACCGCCCTGGCACTCCCTGGGATTACCTCACACTGGGAACCTCACGCGCCACTTCTGACGCACTTTCACCCCACCTTCCCGCCTGTCACCGCATACGTAGCTGCGACCATCGCGACGACGATCCCTCGCTTCAACTGCCTGGCACTGCATCAGCCACTCGATTTACCAAGATAGTCCTTCACAAATGACATGGCACCGGACTTGAATTCTCTTCCTTCATCTCCTCCATCTCTGCCCATCCGATCCAGAATGTCATCCACCAACGGCGAAGCTCTTCTCCCTCCTGCGGCCGGCGGTCCAGCTCCTCGTGGAGAGTCCCCCGCTGGCTCGCCGCGACGGCAATCAACCTCGCTGCAGGCTGCGGCTACACTGAACGCCAGCCTTCAAAACGAACCGTCTCGACGTATGTACTCCCGAATGCATCGGAGAACCCGCGCTAATTAAATCAGGCTCCTCCAGCGGTTCCGTATCTCGAAGTCGACAGTCGCCCAATGCCGGCCGAAGAATGTCCACGGTTCTTATGAACCTGCAGCTTAACGATCCCTCTCTTCCCGGCCCGGGTGAGATGGTCGCAGATAACCAACACGGGCAGACTGGTCCGACTACCGCTAGTCCGCAGCCCATGACAACCTCTCCCACGATGGTTCCCGGTGGTGATCCCCATCACAATCGGGCGCCCAGCCTGGGAGAGCTCCACCAGGAGCTTGAAGCCGAACAGGAAGCTCAAGTCGTACGTTTGAGTCGAATTTGGACTCTTTGCACACGCTGACACTGCACACAGAACCGTCTCCTCCAGATGATCCGCCAGCAGCAGTTGCAGCTCCAGCAACTCCAAGCTGGCCAGGGACAGAGCTCTTCCGCCGTCGAGGACTCTGCTATCGCTTCTGAGAGATCCAACCAGGGAACCCCCATTTCGCAGCCGCCATCTGGCTTCGCGCCGCTGCCTTCCTCGGGCTCCTTCTCGCGATCCCCGGTTGTGCCCCACCCACGAAGCTCCTTTGATATGGCGAGAGCAGATATCCAGCGCCGCTCTCGAACCCCAAGTCGCGGCGCCTCTCCCAGACTGCGCTCGACATCTATAAGCGGCGACAGCGGCGAACCGTATACCCTTGGAGGTCGAGACGAGAGTGCCTTTTACCAGGCCGAGACTCAGATGCTGGTCAGGGAGAATCAGATGCTCCGTCACCGCATACGAGATTTGGGTAAGTTTCGAGAGAGGAGTCCTAGCACGTTATGTACTAATCACGATGCTGTGCAGAGAAACAATTGACGGATCTGCTGCCTGCAACCAGTGCTTCAGGCAACCCCAGCGAGCCAGCACACCCATCCCACCTCAGAGCTGCTGCTGCCGGTGAGGAGGTTGCTGCACCCTCGACTGCGCAAGGTTCAAGCGAGGTGGCCAAGGAGGCGTGATTGGAATGTACGTTTTATGGCGGAATGAACGACACCGGGGTATCTGGCGTTTGGGAAAACTTGCTACATCTCTCACGATTGCAATGACATGGCTTAGGCGTTGGTCGGACGGGTGGAATGGGTCCGTCTCCATGTTATTATGAGCTCCAGTATCAATAAAGGAGTGTGAACCGGTATTGAAGCTGTTTTCGTGATTTTAAGTGGGGGGACGTGGCTGGGAATGATGTTCAATCGAATTCGTTCATGTGTTGCGTAGCTCATCGACAGATCACGACTCGAGCGCACATTAATTAGCCTCGTGGCATCTGAGAAGCTGTTGAGCTTACGCAGGGCATCTCTGTTGTCAGTTTCTTCGTTGGTTGGGGCAAAAAGGTGCAGGATGCAAAAGACTTTGGACGATCTGGGAATCGAACCCAGGACCTACCGCATGCTAAGCGGTCATTATACCACTAAACCAATCGCCCAACTTATGATGCAAGATTTTGCGAGCTGTGTCACCATGTAGTCAAACCCGATCACGGCGAGCTGGTCACGAACCTCGCAGCATCATCGTCTGTCCATTGCATTGTTTGTCGCCGTTGTCTCGTATCGTAGGCGTATATTTTGAACTAGGGCAGTCAGCACGCAGCCACAGTAACTTTCTTCTAGGTTTTTCAGCGTCGTCCAATAGATGCCAACGGCTCCCCGCGAAGGTTAATGGCAAGAGCCAGGCACCCCTGCAGCACCGCTTCAAGATGGTTAAACTTGGGGCCATTACTGTATGGACTCGATCGCACGGACATTGGATGATCACATTGGAAGACATGCTTGAGTATTATTACTCTTGTCGATTTGATTATTTACGGTCCACGACTCTCGATGCATTACCTTGATCGTCGCGTTATCAGAATGTCAAGGGTACCCATGACTACGTAGTAAACCTCTGTACCCAAAACACCGCCTGCAGCAGCCCTTCTCTCTCCCATCAGTGTCGAATCAGGTTCTGTAACAAAGTCCTTGTTATTGAACGGAAGGTATCTGTTGCTATGCGATGCTTAAGGGAAAAGCTTATATGTTCGTTGCTTGTTCTTATTTGAACGACTGGAGGAGCTACATTTGACTCTTTTCAACATCAAGGCATCGACCCATACATTCTTTATGTGGTTGAATTCTGAAAGACTCTTGATCTATCTATGAAAGCAAGTCGAGGCTGTCGAATGAGCTCCTCCTTCGTCCTCTTTGGGGTACTTCTCGCGATCCATTAACACCTCACATAAGTCATGACGGACTTTGGGCTTGTTACTCGCAAGATAGAGACATATGATGAACTTCACGGGATCCCAAATGCATCGTCGAGCTTATGAGCTCCGCGAAGTAGGAGTTTCTCGGCGAGGGTGGGCGAGCCCAGATGCCGCCTGTTGACATTGAATGCCTTGATGTAGTTCTCCAAGACCTCAACGACTTGGTCAACCTCGGAGCAACAGGGAAACTTTCCTGCGCGACCTTGAATGTGTACTTCGATGACATATATGCCCTAGCCGGTTGCTTGGTAGCAGCTCGAGTCTCGTGAACTCACAATGTCAAATTCTAGGGTTCCTTGGATCAGAGACCTCAGCAGCTTCCGCGGGATCGCATGCAGAAGCATCAGCGACTTCCTACCATTCCTATAGTCATATTCGAGCTACTCAAACGTGTTGTTCTACGTGGGATGCAGCTGCCAGACTTCCTATGCAATATTCGGGAACATGAGAGATATCGTGTAGAGGGAGTCCCCTCGCTCAATGGCTTCCAGCAGTCTGGCCTTTAGATCACTCATCAGACGCATTTCAAAGCTTGGTACAAGTCGTGGCGCGGCCATACTGGAAAGGTGATTTGGATTTGGTGATGGTGTTGACAATGGAAAGATACAAGTCCTTTAAGATGTGGACAAGTGCATGTGAACCATGGCCTGGACAAGGGCGTGTAAGCCACGGTCTGGTAGTTGTAGGCACCACCCGCCATCGTGTGCCTCTGCACAAAACGAATACTCATTCTTTTATTCTCCTCTGAAGCTCCGAGGTCATGTGATTTCGTCCCTTGGACTTTTGGATTACTGGACTTGCTCACTTGCCTTTTTTTTACCTTTCCCACCTTCTCTCCATAATCGTCACCACCACCACCACCACCACTGCAACAACAGAAACAACAACCACCACGACCTGTTTTCTCTGCTACAGAAAAAATGGGCGACGAACAGGGGGTGCTAGATCGTGAGGTGGAGGAGATACTTCGACAAGCGCCAGATGTCTTGGGAGCGTCCGCGCGCCTGACGGAAAATGTTGGTCACACGTCTGGCTCAATGCTGGAATTTGGTAACAAGGTGAACGAGTGGGCAAAGTCATTCCCTAACAATTGCATCGTACACGTATACGTGTGTTTGGAGAATCAGAAAAGCAGTGGAGAGTTGGCCGCCGCTGCGGAACGACGACAAGCTACTGAGAGGAGGGCGGCGGCTATCATAAAGGAGACGAAGGCCAACCGGGCTCGAATGCTGTCAACCAACGACGGAAGCCGCGCGCACCAGACCATCGCTCCTCCGAGGCCCAGCGAATACAATCCGTCAGAAGTCGGTTCCCGGGATCATCTTGAACGCCGCCACGACGACCCTTCCGGAAACCATCACACAAGGAGTCGCCAGCCGCCTCATCACCGCGAGAGAAGCCCCCAGCGGTACGAGCAAAGAGCGCCTTCCGAATACCGCCAGCGCGACGACAGGCTCCTCCGATCCGAGTATCAAAGTCGAGGGGCATCGCGATATGAAGCAGGCCCTGCCGGGTACAGTCAAAGGGGGTCTTCTGAAGACGGTGCCACTCGACAGTGGGTTCAATCGCAAGAGAACCGCCAGTGAACCGCCAGTCGTCTGGGCCTGCCCTCGTATGGCCCAAGAAGTCCAAGCATGACAACTGGCCTCGCAAGTCGAGAGACAGGTCTCACTAACTCGAAAAGGCTCCATTGAACAAGGAAAGAAAGGCTGAGTTCGAGACTCGTGGCATGGAGGTTTTCGATTACGAAATGAGGTTCAAGAAGACTGCCGTCTGCGGCTCATGTGGGCACAAGCACCATTTTCTTCCCGACTGCCCGAGGCCGGATGCGACAACCGATTGGCTTGCGGTTTGCCCATTGTGTAACAACAAGAATCACAATTGGGATGATTGTGAGCGCGCCAGGCGCCTCCCCTGGAAGCAGCAGTACGAGCTGATGTTCCTGCGCCGCATCAACATGCCCCCCATCCTTTCCAGAAAGCCTTGGATCTTGTGGGAGAAGGAGAGAATCGATCGGGGCATCAAGCAGAGGCAGCTTGACGGCATGTACCCTTATACTTTGGGCTATGTCGCGGAGTTGAAGACGAAGGCGACCCCTCACTGGGTCACCTACCAGCCCACGCAATTGAAGACGCAAAGAATGGATATATTCCCCAGAGATTCCGCGACCTTCCGCTACCGGCCTGAGCAGCTCGTCAACTATGCTCCCTTGCTCGAGGAAGACTATACGCCCACCGACAACACGTCCCAAGCGGCCGCCGCGCTTCCGTTGCCTCAAGGCGGCCCCGTAACGTTGCCTCAAGGCGGTCCAGTGCCGCTGAACACTGCCGATGCCTCCATGGAGGTTGACAGTGTTGGCCCAGTTTCCAACCCGGCCGCGCCCCCCTTGGTGCAAAGTGAGAACACGTCGACGGTGTCTCATGGGGAAGCTATGGAGGGTGTCGACAACACGGGCGTCGCGCCCCCGGTGGCGGCTACCGCGCCCCCCCCCGAGGTTTCGGATGATGCTTTCGCGGCCTCCTACCAGGCTGTCGAAGATCTCCAGGCCTCCCAGGCGAGCGAGAAGGCTTTCAATCTGGAAGCCCTGGCCAAGGAGATCCCCGCGAAGCCAGTCGCACCGACAAAGCCTCCAATCGATGGTGATGGGGATTTGATAAACTACAGTGACGAGGAAGTAGTCTATGATCCGAAACCGCTCGCGAAGTCACCAAAGAAGAAGGCAGCGGCCAAGGCAGCGCAAGAGACGCCAGTCGAGGAAGAACTGTGATCAAATCTTTGGTCCGAGGCGAAGCCCCCAACTGGGAGGTACTGGATGGATGAGCGAGCCCTCTACTGAGAGGCGTGGTTGAGCATGGATGAGCCAACTGAGAGGCGTGGATAGGCCCCGACTGTGAGGCATGGATTGGCCCCCTACTGGGAGGCGTAATGCAGAATGAATTGAATTCGCATTACAAACATACTTCTCATGTGACATGTACTGTTTCCTGTTTCCTGTGACCCTGTTGAATTGACGTGATCTGAGTGCTCTGTAGATATATCAGTGCTGCATACCTAAATGCATAGCCCGGCTGCGCGGATGCTCGAGTCGGCTGTTGTCAGAAATAATGGGGCCAGACCGATCCGAAGTGACCACACCGCACACACACGGGGCCCACCGAGGTGGAGGGCCGGACCTTCCTTCGATTCAAATAGGCAGCAAGACAAAGCGCGCTACCTCGCCAATTCTGGGCCTTTGTTTTTGAAAATCTCTTTCCCAACACATACAGCACATACGACCGCTTTTTGTACGTACCCAACCTCCACACCCAAGCCTATGCTAACACTAGTAGGGTCAACATGTCGCATCACTCCGATTCGTCGAGACAGAGAGACCACGGCGACCGCGCCAGCAGTCGAGGAATGGAAGCACAGGACCGCACCGGCGGTATACAAGGGAAGCGCGAGCGGCCCGTCTTTGGCCGATTCAACGTGAGTCTGGAAGAAGGGACCACCAGGTTCCGAATGTATTATAAAAGCTCACACATCGGCTCTTCAACTGGCCTGGCCAAGGCCTCCGTTGAGTCTCTTTTCTGTGGCTGTAGAGTCTCCTCCGTAGTAGATGAGTCTCCTCCGTGGATGGCGAGCTCAACACCCTCGTCAGCTGGGCTGTGGTGTCATGAGCTCCAAGTAAAGCTTCCATCCTCTTCCCATTGTCTACTCTCGTCACTTTTCACTTCTTCCAATGCGTGTATCAATTGAATCATGAGCCTTGACGTCGACTAGACTCAACCCTCGTCGTCGTTGACTATGTGGTTGACGATGAGTCTAACTCTGGGGGGTTGGTCTTCGTCGCATTTTCGCAGCCACCCGTCACGCCCTCATGTTCACAAAGTTACACAGGGCTTAAGTCGATGAGACCCGGCAGCTCAGTAGCCTCGTCCCCATCATCGGCACCGTTCTCATTGCTGAACCATTGTAGTTAGTCTTCATTAAGTTTTGGGAGTCACCCATCACATCCTCATATCTACAGAGCTACTCAGGGCTTAAGTCAATAGGTTCGGCAGCACTTAGGCCTCATCCCCGTCATCAACACCGCTCTCATTAATGAACCATCGTGGGGGCCGTCTTCACTCTGCGACCGAACACAGCGCCTGCGTTGAATGGCTGGGTACGACGCATCACTCAACACTTCGCTATTCACGGATCACTCTAGCAAGTCCATGCCATTGACAGGATCCTCAGATAACGGGGACTGGGCCGACTCGATGAGCCAGCAGTGTGCTTCAGGGCGACGTCAGTCTCTTCACTCAAGGTTTACAGGCATCACAGGCATCACAGCAATCGCATCATATCACTACGCACTCGAGCACATCAAACACAGGCATCACATTATAATAATGGGAACAGTAAGGTGCCAGTAGACAACATCAATTGCGACTATTGTAAGCCACGCCCGTCGGCGTCACGAACCCAATCCTGGCCTCTCAATCCAACCCGGCTGAGCCTTTTAATCCGACCCGGCCTTGGCCTCACATCCCCCCATCACTCCCTGGGACGCTCCCCGAAATGAAACACGGCCATGTTCTCCGACATGCCCTGAGGGTTCGTCTTCTTGTCCCCGCCAACAAACATCCCGTACTGGGCCCAAAAGGCAACATGCCCACCGTAGTACTCCCACTGAAGCCAGTGGCCCTTCATGAGTGTGTCAATGTCCTTGGTGGCGGGATCGGCGGGCAAGCAATGAACAGGTGTCCATCTTGTGATAATCGTAATTGATCAGTGGATCGGGGTCGTTGATGCGCATCCACATGGATCGCGCATGAGTCAGTGGAAACCCTGCTCTCAGGGCCATGTCCAAGAGGCACTCTTTAGCAGAGACGTGCTCCCCAAGATTGCGCACCTGAAGCTTGAAACCCTTGTATGAGTCCATAAGAAGATCGTACCAGGACACTGTTGTGACAATCGGAGGCTTCCGAGCGCGGCGAACGACGAGCATGTAGAACATGGCTTCGGGCGCCTTGGGCTTGTCGGGAGCGTCGCAGTCGTCGCAGTCGTGAGTCCTGGAGTTGCACCACACGCATCCCCAGACGTAGCCATCTGCTTGGGGCATGACACAGTCAATGGCAGCGTGGCCCTTTTCGTCGCAGTTGCAGCAGCGATATTGAGGAGTGCCGGTGGCGGGCCGAAGTTGATGAGCCTTGAATTCCACGGTATACTCTCCATCGGGACCTTCAACGAGCTTGAACTCGGACTCGTCGGTGTCGGTGCTGTGGATTGACCCGATGACAGCTCCCTGGATTGGCGGATGTGCGTCGAGATGAGGTCGCGCTTGTCGCAAAAGTTCCTTCCCACGTGCCTTGGAAGACATTCCGTATTGCGAGCAACCCGGGCTGTCGATCGAGCTTGAGGAGCGCTCTCTCCTCTTGCAAGGGACAACGGATCGAGGCTCAGACTTGACGATGGGATCCAAACTCGACGGCGGGGGTGTCATTGAGCTGTGTCCCAAAGGCCCATCTGTATGATACAAAACCATCGATTAGCTACGGGTCGTGTTTTCGAGGCGTGTGTCTAAAGGACGTGGCAACGAACACGACAAATTGGGTACCAGAAACGCCACGAAAGTCTTCGCGGAGTCTCTGTTGGGAGAAGGGATGGGGATACTCACCGGGACGGATATTGGACGACGACGGAGGGTCTTCGAACCAAACAAGCCCGTGGACGACTTTTCCGCGGGCGGCGCGGACAATAATGGACAATGCCTCAGTCGAGGCCTCTGCAGATGACTGGAACGCGAAGTAACCATCGTCATGATGAACAATGTTACCACCGTCGGTCGATGGGTTCGTGATGCGTACAGGCGGGTTCCTGTGCTGGTCGAATTCAACGCGAAGCTTGCCGAGTGCCGGCGGTTCTCGCGAACCGCGGTCGCGGTCGCAGTCGTGCATCGATCACTCTTGCGAATCGCGGGTGCAGTCTCTTATAGAGCGCTCTCCTCGAGCGTGTGACGACATGTCGATTGTTCTCGATGGGTGGTTGTGGTGGTGATGAGAAATGGTGAAGAAGTGTGGGAAATTGAGGAATGGGTTGTGGAGAGGAAAAGGGGAAAAGAGGAAAGAGATTTTTCCAAGTCACCTTGGGTAATGAAAATTCAGATCCCTCCGGTCACATTACCTCCGTCTGAGTCGAGGAAGGAGCGACGCCCAAAGTGCTGCTCACCCAGGCACCACTGGGCTCGATATATGGCGTTGAGGCCTGAATCAGGGGTACGCTAGTCACGTGCTGCTTACAATTGATGTCATCTGATAGTTTCTCAAGATGAAAGTGGTATTCGCGCTGTAAGAGACAGGCCACAGTCCTTTACTTTGGACAAACAGCCATTAGATCCCATCAAACCTTGGAGGCGAGGAAGGAGAGTTGTTCTCCAGAACGCGAACCCATCGAGTATTACTTTTTTGTATTTGTGTCTAATACCGTAAGATTTGCGGTCTTACTGCTCTTGATCCTCGTCTATGACATCTTTTGATATGAAAGTAGTATGACGATGAAGGTTGAGTTGTGCCTCGATCTCATGTAACAAGCTTCACCCTACCACTCCCGGGTGTTCACCTTAATGCAGAGACCAAAAACGAGACATAACGGACGCTAGAACTATAGGTGCCCAAAGTAATATGTCTCTCCACCATTTGGCACTCAATTTCGATATCTAGGCTGGGCGGGTGTGAGTCCTCCGTGATATGTCGTCGGAACCAGAACGACACGTGATCCGGGATCGGGTCCGACCATCAGTGTTGTCGGCGGCTGACTAACGCCGACGCGGAACCCACACTCAGCCACCGAGGATCCCCCTTCTCTCTTTCTAAATTACTTCGTCGCAATCTTCATCGGCGGTATAGGAAATTGAGACACACAGAGGGTCTTTATACACACAGAAAACGTGAACCCATTATCTCCAGCAAAGTGGCGCGTCCTCCCACAAACTCATTCTGGTAGCCAGGCAACAAGCGACCAACTACCATGGCCCGGTGACCTCTCTAAGTGACAAGACGTGTAGTGTATTCTCTCCAACAGGCACATTCTAGAAACGATATAGAGAAGATCTGTCATTTCAATCATTCATTAGTTTTATTTATGACTTCTGATGTCCACTACCGCAATGATTTTAGTACATTGAAGAAATCTGCCCCCTAAGGCGTTGGACCAGGACTGCATTTTTATCAATCCCAGCTAAGGCTACGGCCTTGATTTCCTCCTTCTCAGCCAGTAAGCGTTCTACTACAGCATTGTGTTCCGCCCGTAGCCGCTCGATCTCAGCGACCTTAGCGTCGTACTCTGCCCTGGGCACCGTACTGCCCACATCACGGGCTGCGCCAGCAGCGGGGACTGCTTCAACATCACCCAGGCGGGTGCGCCTCTTCGACTCTCTGCCGGCGATGCGGCGAGTGATGAGGATACCGCGTTCATGAAAGTCATGAATCGTGTCCTTGTCTGGACACCTCATGAGGTTCTTGCCAGTCAATCCACCCCAGTGGTCTCCTGCCAACCCGCCATAGATGGGAAGACCAAGATGGGCCATTGAAGTCAAGGCGTTCTCGACATTGAGCAGGTCAGTTGAATTGACCTTGTATGGGTCAAGAGGCCCCGGGGCCTTTTCGTGTGGGGAGACGCTGGAGAAACATTTCCTCAAGCTTCGTCATGAGCCTGGAGAAGTATGGTCGCATGTGATTCGAATCCAAGAGTCGCTTTCGCGCTTCCGCGTGGATCGCGCGCATCGGCTCGTTCTGACCATGCTTCTCGTGAATCACCTGAATAAGGGTGTCCCAAAATGCCTCATTTGTAGGGTTGACAAGGTGTCATGTGCGACGGTCGTCCGTCCGTAGAATTACGGCGTACTGCATGGCGTGTACGAACAGGGATAACCGGTGGTGCCAGATTGGGTGAAAGCACAAATCGGCCAGCCGCTTGCAAAAAAAAAAAAAAACCACCACTCATGGAAAGAGGCTCAATGTTCTCTGTCAAGCCGTGCTCGTTCTTGGCCTTTACCATCTGGTGGGAGGACGGGTCGTACTCGAGTCGATACTTGGCCGAAATGATCTCGGCGGGACTGCAGCGGAACCAGCGCAGCGTCGTCTTCCAGGCCCTGATGTGGTCGTTTTCGGTTATCAAGAGCAGCGCGCGGCGGTTTGGGTCAGTGGCCCACGCCTATCTCAAGTCGGCTTCGTCCTGTTGGGTCCAGTCTTGGTCGAAGTGGACGTCTGTCGAGTTCTTGGGTACGACTTTGTTGACCTCCTCTTGCGACAGCTCACGCAGTGCCGTTCAAGCGAGGGCCTTCTTCCATCCCGGCTTCCAGTCGGCAGCATCCTTTTGAGAAGACATATTTTGCTTCCTCTTGACCGCTTCGTCGCTGTCTTCGTTCTCGGGAGCCTTCCTCTTCCTGCTCGTTGCCGTACTCGCGTTATCGTCGACGGCGTTCTCCTGGGGTTGTTGATCTGGGGCAAGGCTACCCACGTTGATGCCAGCGGCACCTTGAGGTTGCTGGGCACCTGTGACACTGCTGCCCTGGGAAATGTTGCTAGCGGCATCTTGGGGTTGTTGATTCGCGGACTGGTTGCCCTGTCCCCGGCGCGCAGTACGCGCAGCTTTTGCGGGCATTCTTGAGCCAAAGTTGATGAGAAACTTTTCGTGAATGAGGATTGTGTATGAGGATCGTGGACGATGATTATGGCTGAAGGAAGAAACTGAATGAGGCGGTGATGGGAGGATGGACAAGTGGATGAAGGGGGAAATGGATGGGTTGGATTAAATGGGTGTGGGCGAGTGTGAGGGAGAGGGCGAGAAAGTGAATGAGAGAAAGTAAACAAGGCAGGAGCTGACCCAGATTGCGTGCCTTCCTAAAATCTGAATCTCCCGGGGGCGAGTGCCAATCCTTTGCAAGACTTTGCAAGAATTGTCCGGTGAGCCTCAGTCTCCCATCCTCTGTGAGTATTCTCTAGATCCGTAAAACTTCATGAACCGACCACTCCCACAACCACACAAAAACGGACGTCGATGCCAGGCTGATAACTCTCAAACCCAATTTAGCAGCAGTAAAAGATGAGACCCTATTGGACTTTGATTTCCGGATGACAACGGTCGTAGATAAGATTACTTTAGACCACCAAAGCGCCTTAGCAGAAGTCAGGGATGACATCAATCAGGACTAACTGACCAACTTCACAGCGGTCAAGACCGCCATGTTATCGGATCTTGAAGCCAGATTGACATTACTCAAGAGTGCCACCCCTCTAGATCACCAGACTCTGCCATAGGAATAAATATTTTATATGTTGTAAATCCGCATCGTGGCATCAATGAGAGCACTAGAGACCCGTGTCACCGGCTTCACGCGTTGATTATATGTGTGGAAGAAAAAAAGATTTCGCCTCCCCGGTGCTGAACTGGGGGCTACATCTCTTAGTGCTCATACTGGGATTCGAACTCGGGTACTCGCTAAGCCTGTCGTCGAGTAGGCTGGTTGGCGTAGATAATTATGTTGGACCATTAACCACTCCACCACCCAGCCAGTTTGACCTGACCCGTCGACCAAGACGGGCGCCTCCTGGCTGGTGACAGAAACGGAACTGAGGAGGGGTATATAGGACTTCCAGTGTATATCCAGGTGATGGAGAGTTACCCATGCCAGAGTGCCCGCCGCCAGGATGTCAAAAGCTATGCCGCCCTTTGATATACTGCCATCACCTTACCGACCTCAACGAATCACTCTTTGTCAAGTTCATAATGCCTGGCCAGCCTCCATCTCATAGCTTCATAGTAGTCTTCTACCTACCTCATCATATCCATCACCAACATAACCACCGCTTAATCTTTCATCAAAAATCAGCAACATCTTGTTGGCTGCTTTCTCGAGTCACATCAGTAGACCCACCCAAAGGTAAGCAAGCTGAATGGGCATGACGATGGACCTACAAACCCTGCCGCCGTGCAAAACCAAAGAGCATCAAGGGGGGCCAAGCTATTCGGAGGATCCCGTTGACTCAAAGGCAGCGGGCATCAATCACATCGGGGTATCTAGGCTAACACACACAAGAATAAACTCACGGCTCAAGACTCACAGACGAGATCCGATGTATTAAGAGGTCACACAACACGTCATGATTCGAACGAAAGATTGATTCACAGCAAGAGCCATCGCCATCAACGCAGTAGAAAACGATTTCAATTAACTCGGTCGACCGAGATAAGTGTATGATGAGGAACCCGTCGGCTTGAGTCCTTATGAGCTCATCAGCCCTCGCCTCGGTTTCGTCTTGGCCTCATCCTCCTTCATCCAGCCTCGGATATCGTCATGCTCCGGCATATTCTCACCTCCGGAACGGGTGATCCACGGCCAATTCCTCCACGATGACATCCCGCTCGTCCAGCCATTCTTCTACAACGAAGTCCGGAATGGAAGACAGGTACTGTGGCTTCAGATTATCCATCGATAGGAACCCGAAAGAAATGGCCCAGTACCCATCCTGGCCGTCATGATTGTAGAAACAATCAAACACACTGGCCTCCGACACACCGGTCGAAGTGTTGGTCTTCTGACCGGGCCAAACGCTGTAGCAAGTGGGCTCATCCTGCGAGCCCGAGCGGAACATGCCGTACTGGAACCAGCAGCGCCATATCTCACGCTGAACGGTCTCGACGTCCTCGAAGCTGAGCTGAGCGCTGCCCACCCCCTGGGATGCCGTCACCTGGCTGTCAAACTCGACCGCGTACAGGTGGATGAGCATACCGGTACGGGTGTCGATGTCGAACATGCCATCTTCCGATACCAGTGGTCCGTCAGTCTCGGTGCGCCCGTTCAACTTGCGGTAGATGCCTAACGCGAGCCAGATAGCGCCTTGACTCGTGATCCCGTCCGGTATGCCGGCACAATTAACGTCCAAGTTGATGAAGTGGTCTTGGGGAACTTCGCCTTCGCGAAGTAGCTCCGTAGCCCACTCTACCCGGTATGTCACAAAGTCGCTGCGGTGCTTGTCTGACCCCACGGCCAAGATGGCGGCAATGTCGATCATGGCCTGCCTGACTGCCGGGCTTGTCTGGTTCGTGATGTGCGAGAGAAAGTAGGCGAGGGAGAAGTCATAACCAACGATGTCGGCCAGTTGCGAGGTGCGAATGGCCCTTTCGTCCAAGGTTTTTCCCAACGGACAGCCCATCAAATCCATGCGCTCAATGGCTACGTCCCATCGAGATAAGTCCGTCACGAACGCGTCAAACATCTGCGTTGGTGTCAAGGACGGCATCGCGGCCTTGGTTCGGAGCAGAAACGTCTCGAGATGGACGTCCTCGAATTCGAGGCCGTGTGGCCATTGTTGGAGCTCTTTAAATGGCTGGTGGGCGTGGATGGTGACCAGGGATCGTCCTTCGCCAGGTGCTAACGACGCGGCCTGGTCCAGGAGCAATCCTCTCAATGCGGGTACGGAATCATACACGAGGAAAGCCATGGTCGGGTCCCAAACTAGCCGGAAGCGCGATTTGTCAAGAACAATATGACGCACAGTGTCACTAGGCTTGATACGGGAGCCCAGGGTTGCAAAGCGCACATGAATTCCCGTCGGGACCTCGGGTTCCACAGCCACGCTTGCATCCATGTTCTTGAGCTCCTCCACAAGATCGCTGTTGGTATAGCGGCCCCCGTCTCGTGGCAGAAACAGCCACACTTCGCTGATCGGACTGGAGAATGCGTCTGCCGTGCGGGCCTGATGTTCTTGGATGATTGAGTTCGCAACGCTTCTGGCGGATGCGGTGTGATTGTGATGAGGGTCATCGTGAACCATACACTTTGGCACTTCCTCGTCGGTCACCGTGATGCGTAGCGTGATGACCAGACGTCTTTGCCACTGGTAGACATGAACCGATTTAGTAGGGGGTTCCACGGCTCTCGGTCTAGCCAAATGACACGAAGGCACTTGGTGGTGGGCCATGTGGAAATGAGCCTGGCGAGAAACAAGACTGTCTCGGCAAACTCGATGTGCCAATCATTATCGACGTCCAAGAGCAATGTCAGACAATCGAGAGAGGTTCTATGAAGCTTCAAAAGCTCCGTTCTGATGTCGTCGAATATGACTGTGTCGCTTTCCTGTGTGAGATCTAAGTCGAGAGCCTGCGGATTCTGCCTAAGAGCTGCTATGGTGGATGGCGACGAGTAGAAGATTGCGCATTGCTTGTCGGAGACACGCTCGTCCTTGATGAACTCTTGCATGAGCTTGACCAGCTCAGTCGTTTTCCCAGACCCGGCGGGCGCTTCGATGTGCGCAGTCATAACCGGACAATACCTGAAGAACCATGTCCGTAACTCTTCTTTGGCCTGCGGCCAGCCCTCGAATGTCGTGGTGGGCATCATCGTGTCGTCCGTGCGTGTTGGTGATAGGAGTCTGAGATGAGTGAGAGTGTAGGTTGAAATGGGTGAGAATCCGAGGGTATTGAGAGTGTGAGTGTGAGTGAGAACGAGAATGAAAATATGGGAGAGGATGGCGAAGAGTGGAAGTGTGCGATGAAAATGAGGTAGGCGGTACAAGTGCCAGGCAGGGACGCACTTGCCTTATATGAACGAGAAGGCACTTGGTGAATTTGGATCGCACGACTCACTGTATATTGCCTCGGAGGAATACTCACCAGATGAATGCCTCTCAGCTACCTATACCCACCTACTCAAACTCCCGACCAGCAACACATTGAGGCGCCTCCCGAATCCCAAACCGTCATGGGAAACGAAGTCCAGGAGGCTCAGGCCCATATCGAGGTCCTAAAAGATGAGATCGATAAGCTGAAGCGTCAGATCAAGGACGTATACGAGAGCTACAGCGATGAGAATACACGACACCATTAGTTCAAGCAGCTCCTTGATCAAATGGTGACCAAAAAGTTTGAGCTCGTCATCGTGCTTCAACAGGCCAAGGTCGAGCATGGAAATGAAAAGGCTCGACTAAAGAAGGACTACAATAATGCAATGAACCAGAACACTGCCATCATGACATAGGAGGCATATGAGAAGAATGCCTTACCGCGATGGAAGGATATGACGACAAGGTTGGCGGCTGATGCAAATAAGTTGAGGCCGAGATAGGCGAATGGAAAGCCAAGTTTAACGAAGAAGAGGCCAAATCGAGGAGTTGGCAGACGAAGTCCAACAAATAGAAGGACTCGGAGGTGAATCGGAAGACCCAGGCAACGGATTTGAGGAAGTCCAAAATTGAAACGGAGAAACTCGTCCGAACCAGAGACGAGCTGACGGCGTCCCACGACAGATTCGAAGGAGAACTCAGCCACGTCAACGAACCCAAATTTCAGCTGATGAGCAAATCGACAGATAGAACTCAGAAGCTTGAAAGAGTACAGAAAGAGCTCGAACGCGTGCAGGGAGAACTCGACGAGGCCAATGGGGGTCTTCGTCAACAACCCCAAAAAGTCGAAGCCATTCAGGCGGAGGCCATGGCAATCAACACTCGCTGGATCGACTTCTTCAACGAGGGCGGCGATCGCGAAAACTGGGTATTCTTTGTCTGTGGACTGCGACGGGTTGAGGTCGCCGCCTGACCGAGTGTCTTGCAAAGGCTACAACAGTGTGCCCAGTAGCGATGACACCTCATCAACTACTGCCACCAAAGAACCAAGTCGTTGCGGGAACACGTCGCCCAGAAGCAACCCCCTCATCACAATCAATGTCGTGAAAGAGGTCCTCGGCACGCGGTGGGATTCGTTCGCAAGCCTACAAAGCAAGCCCGGCACAATGCCCGCCGTGCTACAGAGGGCACTCGAGGACTACTCGGAGCTTCTCCTCGGGAAAGACGCGATTTCCCGTCACCGTCCATCAAAGACCTGATAAGATCTGGCTGGCCAAAACTGCCGACTGGCGTGTCATTGTCGTTTGGTAAAATGCAATGCGGGTTGTGCGGTTCATGGACTCGGACTATACGGGCGAGGTCGGGGTCGTCAAGTACGAGCTGCGTTCTCCAACGGGAGATCAACCCATCAGCATCTCTCCCTTCGCCAAGAAGACGAGAGGATTTTGGTCGAAGAGCAGTTGGGAGCTTTAGCGATAATGAAAGCCGTGTTGGTGACGGAAGTGGTCTTACATCAGACGGGGATGAAGGCATTCCAACGGGGACTAGTATCCAGGGGCGACTGAATTAAACCACTCTTTCTTGTACTGTGTCGACGTGAACCCTCGCCAAATGTGATTCTTCGGAACCCATTGTTTGTGCTCCGTGACGTGCCCCAAGCTTGAACCAATATATGCTTCGCGACGTACCTAGGTTGAGCAGCACGTCCAAAGGCAATGAAGAGGTCAAGGTTGAGAGGCATGTCCGAAAGAAACAGATTGCAGCGCGCGCGAAGCATCTGGAATCGGACCGACGGAGGACCAACATGTAAAGAGTTAGTTGATTGTGATCAGATGAATGAAACTTGCCGTACTTACTACAACGTGATAATGTAACCTTGTGCTTACCGATTAACAGCAGCGAGACATAATGACAAAATGGACGTGTGAAAATTCCCCGGGGCATCAAATAAACAAGATACACCGGCATGTTTCAATCCCGGACCAACCAAAGTGCTGCAAACGGATATATACGATGACCGACTAATGACTAGGTATCTATTTACAGCCTGCGCAGGTCGGCCACACATTACAACGCTGGACCCTCGGACGCAGTGATTTTAATATTGTTTTTTTTTTTTCTCTCGTTCTCTTGTTCTTACTCTATTCGCTGTATCTGCGACAATGCAGGCAAAAAGGGGACCCCTTGCTTGATAGGCCCTTGCGCGAAGGCGCGCGGGCGCATCTCAGCTTGACAGGCCGGGGGAAGAAAAAGGACCGAGGTGAAGTGGCCACGCCTCAGACTGCAAAAATATACAAGGAAGCCCGGCCTATATTCCTTTCCCCCCAGGGTATCGCCGATTTTTCCAGCCACTTTCCAACTCCTCGCATGTCGTGAAAAGACGCCATTGTGATGCTTCCCACCATCCAGCTCCTCGCCCCATGTATAGATCCTCAACACAGATACAAGATATTAAAAAATAAAAATAAAAATGGACTCGCACCAGCCGTGTCCGCCCGCGACGGGGCAGGATACACGGCGGCGCCGAGTGCGTTTGGTAATAGGGGCCGACGAGCCAACCTGAATCGACTCGCGGTAGAAGGATATTGTAGACAAAAAGACAAAAAAAGAAAGAAATCTCTCGAGCAGATGGGCTCGTGGCCGAGGGGCGTGCCCTCTCTAAATGCCGTCGGTGGATACCGGGCAACCGCCTAGCATCTTGTTCAAACAGGATCCTCCAGAAGGGTATCGAAGCGTAAAATGGTGACAAATATGGGAAATGGCGTCTATGTCGTCAATCAGTTCCAGCCGAGGGAGTTCTCAGCAGCAACGGGGGCCGAGATGTAGGCCGTCCTTGCAGAGTTGCCCGGACCGCTTCCCCTAGTCCGGCCGCTTCCGTGGCTTTCGCGACCACCGGCAGCTCCGTAGTTGGAGAAGTCCTGGCTCATCAGGGCACCGCCCATCATGGGCGGGCTGCCGGCACCGGTGTAGCGCATCTCGGACGAGGTGAGGGAGCTGGCGCGGCGGTGGGCCTGCTTCTTCTGCTTGTAGCGGCGGGCAATGATGAACATGGCAGCACCGTAAGCAGCAGCAACACCAACAGCTCCGATACCGATGGCGGCGGCAGTACCCTTCTGGATGGGAGACTGGTTGGAGCCGTCGTCACCGGTGCCGAAGGGGTCGTTGGGGTTGTTGGGGGTGGAAGTAGACGACGAGCCGTCTCCGTCGGTAGAAGTGCCGTCATCCTCCTGACCAGGAATGATCTCAATGGCGGGGTTGATGTTCTGAGTAAGGTTGTAGACGAGCTGGTCAGGGTTGTTGTAGATGGCCGAGTTGGGAATCTTGATGTCCATGCGCAGGGTGTCGACCATGCTCTTGGGGTAGTAGAACTTGGCGAGCGTGGTGATGTAGCCGAGAGTCTGGGAAGTGTCGTAGGGGACGAGCTTGGTCATCTGGATCTGGTTGACGTCCAGGCCAGCAGCGTCGGCCAAGGCCTTGGGCAGGCACGTGAAGATCTGAGCAGCGGCGTTGGGATTCTTGCTGACGTGCTGGTAGTTCTCGCCGTGCAGGAAACCAATCTGGAGGAGAATGGTGTCCTTGGGCTGCTCGACATTCGGGTCCGGACCGCTAATGACCTTGGGGAGGTCAGAAGGCAGAGGGATGGTCGAAGTCGGGGCAAGAGCCTCCGTGGGCGTGCTGAGCGAAGTAGACTGCTCAACAATGATGGTGCTGGGCAGCCAGGACTCCGAGTCGGTGATGGTGGCCGTGGCGGGGATGCTCGTGATGATGGGAGTCGTGGTAGGCGGCGGCTGAGTGACGGTCGGCGTAGTCGGCAAGGGCGTGGTCTCAATCAGAGTCTCCGAAAGAACAGTGGTGTTCACGGGAAGGGTGGTGGTCGCCGCAGGCTCAGTAGAGAGAGACTCGGTGGCAGTGGGGACGACGTTGGTGGCCGTGGCAGTCTCGTTGGCGACGGAGGTCGACGAGAGGGAAGACGTAGCCGTGGGGACCAAGCTGTCCGCCTGGGTCGCGTTGCTGATGGTAGTGGAAGCCGTTGGCAGCTGAGACAAGGTTGGGAGCTGCGTGGTAGTCGGGAAGGTCTCGGTAGAGGTGGTATTCACGGGGATCTCGACGGAACCGGTAGCAGTGGTCGTCGGCACAGAAATGGCAGTGCTGTCAGTGATGGTGACCGGAGCGCTGGTGGTAGTCTGTCCGGCGGGGACCTCAGTCGAGGTGGCGTTGACAACCTCGGAAGCAGGGAGAGCGGTCGTGGAAACAGACACGGGAACTTCGGTGGAGGAGGTGATGTTGACGACGGGCTCGCTGCTGAGAACGGGGAGACTGCTGGTGGTGGGCTCAGTAGAGATCTCGACAGAGGTCGTGGCATTGGCGACGGGCTCAGTGGGTGCCGGGAGCGACGTGGTGGGAGCGGCAGTGGCCTCGGCGGAGGAGGTTACGTTGACAACAGGCTCGGTCGGGATGGGAAGTCTGGTCGAGGTCGGGTCCGTGGGGGCCGGGAGAGCGGTAGGCGTCGGGATGACAACATCGGAAGTCGAGGCAACAGGGCTCTCGGAAGATGTCGCGTTGATAATGGGCTCGGTGAGGTTCGTGGGAACGGCGACCTGGCTGGAAACGAAGGAGACAATGGGATCCAGCGGATTGGTGGGCTTGCTGCTCTCGGAGACGGCGGCTGATGTCGTCTCAGTGGAGGCGCCGGAGGTCACCTGAACCGGAGCAGAAGTAGCGGTCTCGACGGGAAGGACGACGGAGCTCTGGGATGACGAAACGATGGGTTCGGTCGCGTTCACATTGGGGACCGCGCTGGTAGTCTCGGGGTTCGCAGCCGAAGAACGCTGTGCCTGCTCGGCAGAGGTGGTGGCCTGCGTGCTGGAAGTCTCAGACACGACGCCGGTGGGAGCCAGGAGAATACCAGACGAGGACGCGACCGTGGTAGCCTCGCTCGATGCAGCCTGAGTGGAGGAAACGGCCTCCGCGCTCGAAGCAGCTTGGGTCGAGGAAACGGCCTCGGCAGTCGAGTTGGTGACCTCGACGTTGGTGGGAGCTGCGGAGCTGAGAACGACCTCGGTGGTAGGTGCGACAGACGACGCCTCGGCGGTGGTGGTTGCCTGGGCAGAAGTGGCAGCTGCTGAGGATTGAACGGCCTCGGTTGTGGAAGCCTGCGCGGACGACTGAGCAGCCTCAGAAGTGCTGGCGGCAGCGGAAGAATGAGCGGTCTCAGAAGTGCTAGCAGCAGCAGAAGACTGAACGGCCTCTGAGGTGCTGGCGGCAGCGGAAGACTGAGCGGTCTCAGAAGTGCTAGCAACAGCAGAAGACTGAACGGCCTCTGAGGTGCTGGCGGCAATCGAGGTCTGGACGGACTCCACCGCGGTCGTCGCAGCCGCGGAGGACTGAACAGCCTCGGAAGAGGTCGCGGCGGCGCTTGACTGAACGGCGGCAGTGGTCGTCTCGGGAGTCGTCGACGTAGGCTGGGTGGTCGCGGCGGCCTGCGAGGTCGAGGGGGCTTCGCTAGAGACTGTCGAGGTTTCGCTGGTCGTCGGCAGGACAGTCACCGGAGGAAGAGTAGAGGTGGGCACGGCGGAGCTTGTCGTCTCAGTGGTCTCTGTCGGGTCGAAGATGACAGTGCTTGAAACGATGACGGTCGTCACTCTTCCATCGGGGAGGGTCGAGACTGTGGTGGAGATTGTCGTCGGGGGTGCGGATTCGGGGGCCGATGAAATGGTGGAAGTCGGCAACGGCGTGGGAACGGTCGACGATGAGCCAAAGAGAGAGTCCGAAAGGCTGGTGAGGATGTCACCAAACGTCGAGCTGATGGAGGCCGACGTGGACTGGAAAGTGGTGCTCTCGGGCGCGGGGGGGAAGGTCTCCTGTCTCGTACTCGTCGAGTTGATAAACTGTCGTTTAACGTGACGCGGAAAGTAGATTTTGGGTCGTTCCTGTTCGGCGCAGGCAGTGGAGGCCAGGCCGAGGGCGGCGGCCAGAAGAGCAGTCTTGGCGTGCATGGTTTCGTTTCCCGATTATCGTATATTCAATTGAAGGTCTTTAGCGATTGTAATGATACCAATATTGGTGTTTAGTAGATGGGGGTCTCGATTCCCATGTTAGTGCGTGCGTCGATATTCGCAGGTAAGCGCGTAGCGACTCACTTTGTCAGGGTGTTATAGAACGAATGTACTTGACAAGAAATTGTCAATGAGCGTGGCGGTTGGTTTCTTGGGGTGTGTTTAATGAGTGACTCGACGAGATATCGTCGGATTGGAGTGGGCGAGGACGTCTATTGATCCGTCACGTCAGCTGAGATTATGGCAGTTCCCTTTGTCGAATGCATGGGGGAAACTGGAAGTTGTCGACACGGCGGAACCTCGACGACGATCTTCAAATGCGTCCAAAGCACATAAGGGGGCGGCTAGATCGGCTCGACGGCAACAAAAAAAAAAAAAGACCCCTTTCACAGCGTGAAGAGGCGCAGGTTGAGAATCGGAGGAGGAGGTTCGACGTCGCCGGATGGATTCTTGACGGAGGCGAGAGGATGTCGAATTCGACTGTCGAAGAGACGAGGTCGGGGAAGAGGTGGGGGCGACAAGAGAGCGAGCGTGAGGAGTAAAAGGGAAGGGAAGGAGAGAGAAAAAAGCGAGGGTGGTGTAAAGGAATGGAAGGGGACGCAAGAAGGAATGTGGATGGACGAGGCAGCGAAGGATGGGAGATTGATTGATTGATGGAAACACACGACAAGGGACGAGGGACGAGAGACCGGGGGGGTTGATCAGGACGGACGGGGGTGGCAGCAGAAAGACCAAGAGAACCAAGCGAACCAAGAGAGAGAGGAGAGGGAGGAGTAGTGCAGGAGGAGGAGGGCTCAGGTCAACCGTCAGGGAGGGAGGGGACGAGATGGGATGGGCCAGCATGGACCGGGTGGGTGGTGATGGGATGGCGGGTACGGGCTCTGCTGGAGGTTTGAGGTATCCCCTTTGGCGATTTTGGCAGCAGAGGTACTTACGCATAAGTACACTGACTCTCGTACTCCGTACACGGGTACCTTGGTCCAGGTTGATCGCGGTGCTGAATGGGGGGAAGGGACGGGAGCTGACTGCTGGCTTACTGGAATGGCAGGAACCAAGCCGGGCACTGCTGGGCTGTACTGCTGTAAGGCAATTACCACGTCCAGGCACAAACTCGAGGGTGTGCAGGGGGGCGTGCGGTACTCTTTTGTAGTAACCAAGGTGGTGAGATACTTGTCTTTCCTAAGACTTCCACAAGTAGTGCAGGTACGGAACGAGGTACCTACCTACCTACACTTGGGTTGGATTTTATTTTATTTTTTTCTCTTCCCGTCGTCCCAAGCGTCAACCCCTTTTTACCTCTTCACCACCAAACCAAGGCACCAACGGACGACAATTCACGAGGCCCTGCAGGTGAGTCAAGGCCCAGCTGGCACAAGTGCGTACTATTCGTACTGGACCAGTGAACTTCATTTTGTGCACACGCAGGCGGCATGGCTCAACGTGTGTGGTACGACGACTGTGGTGCTCCTCCGGGCCGTCATCTTATTACTCCCACCACACCTGAAGACCGCCGTCAAGTACCTTTCCTATGCCAGCTAGCCACGACCGGTACGAGTTATGCGTACGAAGTATTGCATCCCCCGTCAGCATCCATCCACTCATCCACGGCCGAGAGGGACAGCCAACGTCGCCCGACCATTACGCAACTCCACTGGGCACAGCAAAAAGCCAGTCTGACTGTCCGACTCTGACTGGACTGGGTCTTGTAGCCAAACGGATGCCATTTTGAGATTGCAGACCGAAGAGTCTCGGAAAAGCCTCACCTAAACAGACAACGCACAGGGACTGTGGGTTGTCGTCCGAGAGACATCTCTTCTCCGCTGTGTACGAAGTACAACTCAGCCCAATCCTGACCAGAGCTGGGACGAAATCGCTGGATTGGGTTTGTGTAGAATGGACGATTGCCCAGAGACGAGATGAAAGACAATGCGACTCGACCGTCACGGCTGAACTCTCGTCCCTGTACGAAGTACACAACCACCGCCCATGCGCCACGAAGTGACTTGTCCGCCATACGGTTGGAACACAGCACACCCAGGAGTTGGCATCGGCCTCTTCTGCAGCATTGCGGCGTACTGGCCAACGGGGTTGTTTAGTCGGGGCGAGGATCCCCATTGTGAGCAAAGCGCGTAGGCCCGGGATCTCCCTCCCCCCGAATCTTGCAGACGTGGACGTGTTGTATTATTTTTGGCAAGCAGACGGGCCGTTGGCTTCTTGGACTGTAGTCTGTTGGACAGTGTCACATCGTGCGCATCTGTTTCGCTTTTCGAGAGCACCCTGAACTCGATGTCGTCCAGAATAGTCGAGCCAAACTCTCGACTCTCACCGGAAAAACGCTAACATTGACGACGGTGCATGGCATGGCATGGTTTGGCTCTTTGATGAGTGTTGACCATGTGTTGCCCCTGTCCGCTATCACTGCCGGACGTTCACGGTGGGACGGGTGGAAAAAGTCGCGAAATGACATTGCTGTTCTGGTCATGGTCTACCGTCGAGGTCCCTCTGCCATGGCGTGCTCGTCCGTGTGCCTGTTCTAGACTCTGGTGGTTGTTGGTCGGAACGATCAGCTCTCAGGTCGACGGCTAGGGGAACGAGTCACTAGCCAGTCCAAGATCGGTATCCGTACTTCGTACACCATACCTGATCACTGGCCAACGCCGCACCCATACTCCGTAAGGTAGTCCGTACGTACGAAGTACAAGGTATCCGTCCAGCACCAAGCTTGTAAGCAGCAGCCCGGGCACTGATGGTCCGCCTTATTGCAGCACGCACAGTACTCTGTAGTGTGTACTCTTCCGTGGGATGGCGGGAAGGAAAGGTGGTGTGGAGAAAACGTCGATTCACCGTTCCTGTGCTGTGCTGTGCTGTGCTGTACGGTAGGAAATACACCATTGCCGTTGCTGGCAAGCAAACTCGTCAGACGGTGGTTTGTTGCCGGCGTTGCATTGCTTGGAGCTTGTAGCTGACTGCTGGCTGTGAGCGGCACTGGTGGTCAAGTTGAGGTGCAGACGAGGTGGAAGATCCTGAGCAGCCGCTGCCCGCAGGAAATGGTGCAGAGGGGCTTAGCTCTTTCGGGGCACGGGCTAAAGATGGGCAGAAATTATTGCCGCCGGATACGTACCGCGCGCAGTTTAGATGATGTGAGGTGGGGCAAATGGTGGAGTAGGGATGACCCAGGCAACTCACGCACTCCAGGCCCTTGCCCACCCTCGCCAATATCGAATACTTGCTTTTTAGGTGGTCTTTCCTGCAAAGAAGCAAGTCTCTTTCCAAGGTCCTCCCATCGGCCGTCCTGTCAACTTTGGCCCTGTTCGTCCTCTGCCGGGGCTTGTTGCTCCTTCAAGGCCGTGCCAGGTGGACCGGAGAACAGGGGAAATCTGACAAGCGAGCGCAGATCATTGGCCGAATCTCGGTGATGCGACGCTACGGGCAATTTTGCGCCGTTCAACCCCTACAGACCCTTGCCGGGGGAGGTCGCTGGGCAAGACCAGGGGGGGGGGGGGGGGGGGGGGGGGGGGGGGGCTCCTCCTTCCCAGATTCCTTCTCCAGGCTTTTCCAGGTGGGCAGTCACGCAGTGGGCACTGGCAAGAACTGGGCAAGTGGGCTATTCCCTCCCTTGCCTCAACTTTCAAGGCGCCTTCCCTTCCGTGGCCTTGCACCTCGCTGCTGTAGGTACGGATACATACGCAAAAAAGGGTACACAAACTTGCACCGATGCATGCACACATCGGCCCTCTCACTGTCCAACGAGCACACAAACACACCACACACATTGACTGGACAAGAGTCAGAACTCAGAACCACCAACGGCGCAGATCCATCATCCCCCTCCAATTCTTTGCACAAACATGGATCCGTGGGGCTAGCTGACGAGATGGACAGTCCAGACCGAGTCCTGCCGTTGATCGTTGCCCTCGAGAGACCCGAGTATGATTGACGGCACTTGGTATCCATACCCATACGGAGTACTACGTACAGATGTGTCCTGGAAGAATCCCAACCCGGACGAAATGATAATCGGAGGCAATCTGCATTTTCAACGTCCTCTTGTGGAAATCCCTCGTCAACCTCCGCCCTGCAACAGTCCAACGCTAGCAGCCCACGTCTTGTGACTGCTCCAGGGTTGCAGATGGTCACCCCCCACCATGGCAACATTGGACACACAGACAACTTTACAAGCGACACTTTTCGACCAGTCTCCTTGGCCGTGACTGTACGAATAGAGTCAAGAGTTGTCAACCTCGACGCTCTTGCGGGGCGTAGAGGTACGTTGCGTTGCTGCCGTTGCAACCCGGCATCACGCCAAAATTGATGTTTATGAGCATAATAGATTACATTACGCCTGTCGTGCTCGGGAGTTGATGTGCTCAGGCCGCCCGCCACCTGCAGTCAAGAATCAATAATGCTGTACGGTCCGGTACGGAGTAGCCCTCACCACTCGCGTAGCGTCCAATACTCCAATTCGCATTGCACCATTTCGAAAATCTGGACCACTACAGTATCCTCCCAGAGGATACTTGAGTCTCTCGTCAGACTCTTTCGATGTCTCATCACAGTCGAATGCCAACGATACTGCCTTTGGACCACCCGCCATGCCAGTGCCTCTCGATTGGCATCTCAACGGCGGGTCGGCGACACGCGCGTTGTGCTCAGCACGCTCGCTTCCAACAAGCGGCGGTTGTTGGTCCCTCGATCGGACCACAGGACGATGCGGTACAAAGCGGATACTCGACCACAGGCCCAAAACCCGCTTGCTCGAGGTACCGTTCGTGGGAGGCGCTCGTACCGCTTGCCAACAGGACTACCGTTGGAGCGACCTGATCTCGTCCCTTTCCCGTCGGCGCTATCCCTGCTCGTTTTCCACCTTCCCCATGCGATGGCGTGGATGGCTGAGGACACGCGCCCAATGGGAGCCGACGCCGGTGTCGTTAGCTTGTCTCGAATGTCCCGTTGATGGACGTGGGCTTGAGCCTTTAATCATAACCGCACCAACGCACGCCACAGACGAGATTTGGAGCTCTAGCGAGACGACGATGCACAACGGCCCAGGCTCTGGGGATATCGATACCATCAACATTAAGTAGTCAGTACCGATTTCGTGCACAATTCGAAAGCCTTCTTGATGCCTTCGATGGTATGATGGCGCAGCCGCGCAGGGCTGGCGGAAACCTGCCAGTGCTGTTATTGTCCCAGTACCGGCAAACCGGCCGCCGTCAATATCTCTGCGACTCGTCAAGTGGGGTTGGTCTCCGCCGATCAGCCAGTCACCCAAAGCTCTGATCAGAACGCACCGGGGGGGGCACAGAGGCCCAGCGAATGGTCTCGCCCTTTCTGATCAGCCGTCGAGGATCACCCTGCAACGTCCGTTGATGGTGCGTTTTTCCACGTGGGTAAAGAGCAAAAAAATCGAAGCTTTTTTTCTGTTTTATCCCTCTCTTTGGGCATGTCCATCGCTCAGTCTCTGCGGGTTCGCGCACCGGGATACATGCCGGGCCAGTTGGATTGTTTACAGTTACACGCGAGTTGCACACGCGACTCCTTGCTCAAGGCCACAGGAACACTCAGACGTCAGCCTTGGGACAACTTAATCGGCACAAAAGAGCCCCATCATCTGTTCGGGACGGAGTACTGGCTTTCGAAGGGCTTCGATGACCGTGACACGAATCCTCTATCCGACTCTGTGGAACTCAAGCCCAGGGCTCGGAATCAATGGCCAAGGCCCATGTCCGGTTCTCGTCCTCCCCCGGTGTCGTCACAGATGCAGGACAGTGTTGGTGGCCCCCAACTTCCAAGTCTTGTCTCGTCGGATCCTGAAGCGATGCCCTGAGAGAGGAGGGAATGAGGGTCGGTGGAACAGCGCTCCTGAATACACGACAGATTGAGGCTGTGCAGCAATCGCACGCCTTGTCTCTCTGCCCTTCTGCCACAGCCATGTCCGTCCCCATTCCTCGCCTATCCGCAAGTTGCCGTCCGGCCCGTCTCGTGTTGTGTCGCGTCACATCGTCGAGCTTGAAGCGGCGGTGTCATCAACGTGCCAGAGTGTCTGTTCCATCGGCATCCGTCACTCTAGAAGCCTTGGGCTGGAGGCAAGCATCGAGAAGTCATATCAATCGCTGACGGCACGGTATCCGTACGCGGTACCCCTCTAAAGCTGCCGCTCCGGCGCCGAGTCCCGGTGGCGGTTCCCGCTCCAACGGCATAGACTGTATCGTCCCTCTACTCCGCGCGTGCCACCATCACTAGCGAGCGGACCGGGCTGAGTCAAAATAGCACCAAGACATGCGCTATTGCTGGTGCGTCAGGTACTCGATGTACGGCGTGGGCGTGGCTCGCGGGCTAGCTCGAAGAGCTTCGTGCTCTCATTCCCAATCTCCAAGGAAAGCTCCAAGTCCAAGAGTGACGAATTTCAGTTCCTGGCGGCGTCCAGGGAAACGCTATGACCACGGCATCAAGAGTTCGAGACCTGTTCGTCACCACCAACGTCTCGGCCACCCACGCAACGCTGTGTCTTGCTTCGAAATCGCACTTCTCCTTTGTTTAGTGCGACCTGCCCTCCCTCCCTCTACGGATAGGTTCCCGAGGCTTTGCCGCACCTGAGAATGTGGGCTACACACCCTGAAACCCTGGTAACATGCTGGACAGCTGGAAAATCGAATTTGGGACCCATCGCAGCATTTTTCCAACGTGTTTCAAGATGTGCTGGGGAGTGCTTGTCAGTCTCCCTCTGAAAGTGAACGGGGGCTTGTTTACCTGCCGATCATTCTATTGCCCGCCGCATCATATTACCGACCAATTTCTTCCGTTCCAAGAAGACAAATCCTCGCTGTATTTGCCATGTTATGATCCTCGCGGTGTTTGGCCGTGTCTCTAGGATGTGAGCCGCAGCCGTTCGCAGGATTCACGGGAATCTGCGGCCCCAGGTAAGATTGATTCGACATGAGATCAGGACTGACATGACGACCCAGGCATTCTCACGCATCGAGTCTTCGTCTCTTGCCTTCCTTCGCACGTACTCCCGCCCGCCGAGCACTGCTGAGCCGATTCGCGGGTGATGCTGCACAGGTGTCATGTTTGAGATGTCGGGATGAACTCTGCGGCCCTCGACACTCGCAAAGACCGAGTCGGGCTCTACCTGTGTGTTTCAACATGACACCAGAGTATGATGCTGGAATGTGATGGGAATGAGGGATTCCGTCGCAGGCTCGTCCAGAAGGCTGCCGTGGCACCGGACGCTTCAGCCACGTGTTTCCCTGTTCTCGTCTACGTGCGAACTTGTCGTACTCGGCCATACCACGGATTTCTTCTGCGACGCTCTGTTCAGCCTGTGGCATCGAAGACTTCAGGGGCAGGGATCTCATCACCACAGCGTGTTCGTCAGGCACTCTACATCTTGCGACGCTCGTATCAGGTATGGTATGCATTTGAATTGGAGGCGCCTACGGATAGCCTTGCCGGCTTGTTGGAGACTCGGGATCGAGAAGACGGTGGCTCGCCGGAGCTCCCGGTGCATGTGGAGATTGACAGTACGGAGGGCCGGTCGGCTCAGGGCCGTAGCCCCGGTATCTGCCCGGCCGGGTGTCATTTAGACTACCGGAGTCTCATTGCCTTCATCTCGGCAGGAATTCCTGCCGACTGTGGCTGAGCCACTGCCGTGCACCACCTGTGACGATGAGAACAGACAACTGCCTCCAAGGCTCAATCTTTTTGTGGCATTTCAGGTTTGTGGGCAAAGACGATGGTTGTTGATGTTGAGCAGTTCATCATGATCATGTGACCCTCGACAAAACTACACATCATTCGTCTCTCGATCGTGACAGAATGCGCTACGCTCGATCATAGTGCACCAGCTTGATGCGAAGAGCAAAAAATATGCAGATCGGACGGTATTGGGAAGCATGAAGATATATACCTTGTCGAAGCTGCAGCCGCCGTGTCCAGCATCCATTACACGGCTTGCGAAACCACTCATTGGCGAGAGTCCGCTGCGCTGGAAAGTTCACCCGGCTTGCTTTCTGCAATGCATGGCCACTTTTGGTCTTCTTTCCTTGACGACTGGTCGGGGCCGGGTCTGCAGGATGTATTCCGGCGCGAGCCCGTGGAGCAGCTCGGGATCCTGTCAGTCTAACCCTAGATTGACGACGATGAATGGCGGGCTCTTCGCAAGCATAACCAGAACGGTATTGCGAAAGCCGCGAAGATGCATATGCAGATGGAGGACGGATATGAGCAGTCACATTGTATGCCCGCCGCCCCAAAGACCAAGGACCAAGCAGCATTTGCGTCGAGTTTGACGCCTCCACGAGAAAGCCCCAGCCGGCCGAAATCCATGTTTTCTTTTCTTTTTCTTCCGTTCGTGTCCCGGGACGGAATGGAGGTGGTTGGCAGACGCAGTGGGTATGCGTTTCCTGTCATTTTCTCTGTCGGGCCAAACGTCCCCCGTCATTCTGTGGCAGGGCTGGATGGCGCCGTGGGGACGCCAACGACCGAATACAGACTGGCCGAGTGGCCGAGAAACATACTGGGCGGCATTTGTCACGAACGTTGTTGTTCTGGGGCTTGGATGCCGACGACGAAATCCCAGGTTGGCGTTGGACGTTGACGAGTGGCGGCGGCAGCGAGCGACAACAGGTTGGTTGGACGAGCGTTGATCTGCGAATAGCGCAGTGGGATGGCGGGGCAGCGTAGGGCCGGGAGGTGAGAACTGGGGCAAGCCGCAAAGCCGCAACCCCTCGTTCGCAGGCTTGCTGCAGGACGACGTATTAGCGCTTGGACGCTAGTCTGCCCGAGGGGCAATTCCCGCACGTCGCGATGCAGCCTTTTGATAGAGGGGACGACGGGAGGTGGGAAAGGGCAGAGATGACACAGCACTGGACGGCGGCGAGGACGGCGACGGTGGTGACGATGACCAGTCAGAAGCAATGGAAACCCGGCGGAACCAAGGATTGCAGCGGCGGGATCAGCGCGAGCGGCCGAATCTCGACGGCTAACTACGTTTGGGGCTCTCCCAGACGTGGGAGAGCCGGATTGACGGGATGTGCTTGGGCGGTGAGATGATGTGACTCGCATCTCAGGTACCTTGCTTGAAGGTGAGCAACGCGAATAAGGTTGAAGTATCGAGGTATGCAAGCCACAGCATGGTCGAATCGTTGACCTTCGGTGTGCTTGCCGCCATCCCAGCCGGGGGTATGGGAGAGTTGCCAACTTTTTGTGTGATTTTCTTATCATATTATTCGCACTTGTACGGCGTACCTTGGTGACAGGCGGGACGGAACGGATGTATCCTCAGCATTGTGTCGAGCTGATGCAAACCGACCAAGCTTCTTCCAGGTACACGCGGTCCAACCAGACCTTGCCCGGGTCAGGTATCTAGGCCGCTAGGTCAGGAAGCTCGGAAAGGTTACGCGCAAGGTGAAGCGAGGACGACCGGGAGTTGTTCGACTTCTCGAGGTTGAATCAGGTCGTTGAGGGTGTTGAGGAACTGCTCCCTGCGCCTGCTGCTCTGACAGGTGGCCCTGACGTAAGGCACAGCCGGTTGTTTGGCGGGGTCGGCAAGGTACCTCTGCTCGCCTGGGGCGGGGGACCTATGGCTTCGGGATCGCCCATCACGACGGACTTTGTTTCTGGTAACGCTACCCAGGCGAGGGGTAGACTTTTCTGCACGAAGCAGGCAAAAGGATACAACGTTTGAAAGTCTCCGCGACCAAGGGCCCGGGTTCGTCATCGGCTCCCTTGGCTGGGGCGGCAAGTACCTTTTTTTTCCTTTCCTTTAGGTGGTTTGAGCACCTCACCCAGGGCACGCAACCGCAATTCGAGGCGATGCGCGCAAGTCGACCTTCCCCCCGGTTCTCACAGCTTGTCGCAATGCTTCGTTCGGTTCGGCATCCCCTTGATTATGAGTACATACAGTCAAATAACCCAGAAGATAGATACATGTAATAGATACATTGGCCCTTGCCTCACGCCTGCCCCTTCCCACGTCCACTTGGAATTGAGGTTCGCAAGGTGACGAAACTATTTAAAGCGCCAGGCTGCATCCAATCCCCCCCGTGCCTTTCCCCCCTCCACTGACTGCCCTCTGCGGTTTTACCCCTCCATCCTCCCGTGAACCCCACTTGGATTCCCTTTACCTGCTTTTGCTGCCCTTGTCTTTAAAGCAGTAGCTTCCCTCAGCTTCCTTCTCTGCAATTCTTTCCCACCAACATCACCAAACACACAAACACCAACCACATCACAAATCACATAAAATGGGTGTTACCAAGACGACTCACCAGGCCGGATCGGGCGCCATCCCAAAGCCCGGCCAGACTGTCACCATTGAGTACACTGGCTTCCTCAAGGATACCTCCAAGCCCGACAACAAGGGCAGCAAGTGAGCAACATTTTCCCTACACCACCCATCTCTGCCTTTGTAAATTCGGACTATAATTGCTAACGAGTTCCTCAATTGCCAGGTTCGACTCCTCCGTCGGCCGCGGCGACTTCGTCACCAGAATTGGTGTCGGCCAGGTCATCAAGGGTACGTCTGCACCGAGACATCCCGCGGAACCCTACTCTCCGTCCTTCTCTCTCTCCCTCCCCTCGAGCTTCCTCCAATAGATATACCAGCTGGCAATGCGGGACTGGATGTTTACTGACACACGACCGCAGGCTGGGATGAGGGTGTCACCCAGATGAACGTCGGTGAGAAGGCCACTCTCGACATCACCAGGTAAGGAACCTTCCCTGCCCTACAGTCTCTGTTTCGGGGCAATGGGCTGGCTTTATACAGCTGGATCCGACATGACAACGAACCTGGCTAACGTGTGTTTTAAAGTGACTTCGCCTACGGCGAGCGGTAAGCAATAATCACCAGCAACGGTGCCATGCTAGGCATCTGCTGTTCTTTGACGACTAATTGATACTAATCCTGTTATCTAATAGCGGCTTCACCGGCCACATTCCCCCCAACGCCGACCTCATCTTGTAAGTTTCGACCCTGCAGGAGACCTTGCCAACGCAGCACTCTGCATCAGCAAGCACATTGCTGACCACATCCCACAGCGACGTTGAGCTGAAGAAGGTCCAGTAAAGTATCAAAGCTTTGCTTCGTTTCGCGCAAGTGGTTAGCTGGAGAGATGATATGAAGTAGGCACACCCGGCCTGTTTTGCAGGATGGGTGGATAGTACAAGTCCCGTAAGGACTGGAAACATACTCGGGCCCAAATATACTCTCTTCAACTGCCACATAACAATGCTCCCAGTGTGATGTACTATGCTATGGTGTCGTATAGCTGCCGGATCGCATGCACGATGTCTGGGTCTAGAAGGAGCCCACGTCACACGACATGCGGTGCTGGTGATACGCTTACTCATGTGACCTATTTTCTCCTGTACCATGATCGAGTCTTCCCAGCGAACATCCCACCGTAATCGTGTTTGAGTACTCATTCGGATACTACGCAGAGATGTCGCAAAAACGTTCTCTGGAGACTACCTTATGTCAGGGTCTGCGCATTGAGGAATCTTGCTGATGTCCGCTGCCTGGGTGAATAGAGGTCTCGACATGATATTGGTCATTCCCCACGTAGAGTGAACTTTTTGGCATCGAAAAAGTCAGATTGATAATCATCAATGCTCTGGCTTACGATTTAAGGGCTTGTTGAGTCTGTTTGACTTGGTGGGCGATGTGATTGATTTTATACACTACTTTAATCGTTGTTTTGTTTCCATTCTTCGTCCAGTTTCCAACCCTTCCCATTCCATGATGGACTTTCTTGGACAAATTAACGTCAACGCTGTACATATAGTCATAGTCCTAAAAACACTAGAAAGAGCCTTTACATTTTGAGATTCCCCCCTCGAACCATACAGCCAAGCTTGGGAAACATCGCCAGGCCAACTCCTGATGGAACTCGGTAGATTCTCGGAGAAGACGAGACACAGTGCCCCAAGGCAGTGCGAGCCAGGCCCCAAGCTCTGGTACATCTCCACAGCCCTGAAGCCAGGCGATCTTGATGTACACACAGTGCATACATGACACATGGCTTCGCCAGAGCTGAGGCTGTCTTGGGTACCTCAGTCCTCACTGAATGCATTGAGGGGCAATGTTTAGAAATCGCCCAGTGGAGCTTTCCTTTACCTTACGGCGTGACTGCCACTGCCAACCTGCATCGCCCGCCTTACGTGAGGTAACCCAGGCGCACCCCTGCCCCTCGTCAACACCTCCACATCCGGGCTCCACGACCACCTTTACATCACCGGAAACGAGGCTGCTCTTCTTCCTGCACAATCACCATCAACTGCAACTACGACACTTTTTCTGCTTGGTGCATTTTTCCTACCTCTCTACGAAACGCAGCGACAGTCTCTCCTTGACGAACGACGAGACGACCAGACCGCTGGTTCCACGATACGAACACACTACACGAACACACGCCTTTGTTTGGTGGGGTTGGAAGCTTCATCGTCCCGCCCGCACGTGTTTCCCTCCACGTCATAGCAAACGACGTTCCGGTCCGGCATCGTCAAGCTGGGGAAGCGCAAACTCTCCAACGGGGAGACACCTGATCCCAACAAGAAAACCATGGCTGTACGTTGTTCGCGTATCTTTCAGTCTACATACCCCGCATCGCGACGCTGACCTTTGACGTCTCCAGGATAAGAAGCTACCAGAGGTCGACCTGGTGACCCGCATGCAGGTCGACGACTCCGTCGTCGGAACCACCGAGATCGATGAGTCGCTCTACAGTCGCCAGCTCTATGTGCTGGGCCACGAGGCCATGAAGCGCATGGGCGCTTCCAACGTCCTCATTGTCGGTCTCAAGGGCCTGGGTGTCGAGATCGCCAAGAACATTGCCCTTGCCGGCGTCAAGAGCCTCACCCTCTACGATCCCGGCCTGGTCGCCCTCGCCGACCTGTCCTCACAGTTCTTCCTGCACCCCGAGGACGTGGGCAAGCCGAGAGACGAGGTCACCGCCCCGAGAGTCGCCGAGTTGAACGCATACACCCCCGTCAAGGTCCACCAGTCGTCAAGGTGAGTTTAGAAGCCCTCCCACGAGGCAACGCTAACAGATACAGCCTGGGCGAGAACCTCTCCCAGTTTGACAAGTACCAGGTCGTCGTCCTGACCAGTCTCCCGCTGAAGCTGCAGGCGCTGATTGGCGACTACTGCCACCACAAGGGCATCTACGTTGTTGCCGCCGATACCTTTGGTCTTTTCGGTTCGATTTTCTGCGATTTCGGCGCCGACTTCACCGTCATCGACCCCACCGGCGAGGCCCCCTTGACCGGCATCCTCGCGGGTATCGACGAGGAGGGCCTGGTTTCGGCTCTCGACGAGACCCGCCACGGCCTCGAGGACGGCGACTATGTCACGTTTTCAGAAATCGAGGGCATGGAGAAGCTCAACGGAGGCGAGCCGCGCAAGATTACAGTCAAGGGCCCGTATACCTTTTCAATCGGCGACGTTTCCGGCCTCGGCCAGTACGTCCGCGGAGGTCTGTACCAGCAGGTCAAGATGCCCAAGAAGATCAACTTCAAGAGCTTCTCTGCCGCCCTCAAGGAGCCCGAGTTTATGATTTCAGACTTTGCAAAGTTTGACCGCCCGCAGCAGCTTCACCTTGGTTTCCAGGCCCTGCACGCCTTTGTGGAGAGCCAGGGCCGTTTCCCGAACCCCCTGGACGACACGGACGCAACAGTGATTCTGCGCTCCGCCGAGGCGTTTGCCAAGGCCGAGGGTGTCGAGGTTGAATTCGACGAGAAGCTCCTCAAGGAGCTGAGTTACCAGTCCCTTGGTGACCTGAACGCCATGGCCGCCCTGTTTGGTGGAATCACGGCGCAGGAAATCCTCAAGGCCGTCTCGGGCAAGTTCCAGCCTATCCAGCAGTGGATGTACTTTGACTCGCTCGAGTCTCTGCCGACCAGCACCGCTCGCACTGCCGAACTCTGCAAGCCCCTCGGCACACGCTACGACGGCCAGATTGTCGTCTTTGGCCGCGAGTACCAGGAGAAGATTGCCAACCTGCGGCAGTTCCTCGTGGGTGCCGGTGCCATTGGTTGTGAGATGCTCAAGAACTGGGCCATGATTGGTCTCGGAACCGGCCCCAAGGGTCAAATCACCGTCACTGACATGGACTCTATCGAGAAGAGCAACCTGAACCGTCAATTCCTGTTCCGCCCCAAGGATGTTGGTAAGATGAAGAGCGACTGCGCTGCCGAGGCCGTGCAAGCGATGAACCCCGATCTGAACGGCCATATTGTGTGCCTCAAGGATCGCGTTAGTCCCGAGACCGAGGAGACATTCAACGAGGCGTTCTGGGGAAACCTCGACGGCGTCACCAACGCGCTGGACAACGTCGAGGCCAGAACGTACGTCGATCGCCGCTGTGTCTTCTTCCGCAAGCCCCTCCTCGAGAGTGGTACGCTCGGAACCAAGGGCAACACCCAGGTCGTCCTCCCCCATCTTACCGAGTCGTACTCGTCGTCGCAGGATCCCCCTGAAAAGGAGTTCCCCATGTGCACTGTGAAGAGTTTCCCCAACAAGATTGAGCACACCATTGCGTGGTCCAAGGACCACATGTTTGAGAACCTCTTCGTCACGTCCCCTTCCACGGTCAACCTGTACTTGACGCAGCCCAACTACATTGAGGGCACGTTGAAGCAGGGTGGAAGCGCCAAGCTGACGCTCGAGACGCTCCGCGACTACCTCACCACCGACCGCCCGCGGACCTTTGAGGACTGTATCGCCTGGGCGCGCATTCTCTTCGAGAAGGAGTTCAACAACAAGATCCAGCAGCTTCTGCACAACTTCCCCAAGGACTCGACGACGTCAACCGGCACCCCCTTCTGGTCTGGTCCCAAGCGCGCCCCTGAGCCGCTCAAGTTCGACCCCAACGACTCTACACACTTTGCCTTTGTCGTGGCGGCGGCGAACCTGCACGCCTTCAACTACAACATCAAGTCGCCCGGCACCTCCAAGGACATTTACCTGCGCGAGCTCGAGAACATCATCGTGCCCGAGTTCTCACCCGCCGAGGGTATCAAGATCCAGGCCAACGACAGCGATCCTGTGAGTTGCGTGGTCTATGAAGTAAACGGAAGATGCTAACCTGACTAGGACCCCAACGCCGATGCGGGCAGCTCCTTTGACGACAACGACGAGCTGCAGAAGCTCATCAACAGCCTCCCTTCGCCTAACGAGCTTGCCGGCTTCCAACTGCAGCCTGTGGACTTTGAAAAGGACGACGACTCGAACCACCACATTGACTTCATCACGGCCTGCAGTAACCTGCGCGCCGCCAACTACAAGATTGAGCAGGCGGACCGCCACAAGACCAAGTTCATTGCCGGCAAGATTATCCCGGCGATTGCGACGACAACGGCGCTCGTCACGGGCTTGGTGATTTTGGAGTTGTACAAGGTCATTGATGGCAAGGATGACATTGAGCAGTACAAGAACGGTTTCATCAACCTGGCGCTGCCCTTCTTCGGCTTCAGCGAGCCCATTGCCAGCCCCAAGGTGGAGTTCAAGGGCCCCAACGGCATCGTCAAGCTGGACAAGATCTGGGACCGTTTCGAGGTCAACGACATCACACTCAAGGAGCTGTTGGAGCACTTTGAGAAGCAGGGCCTGACCATCTCGATGCTTAGCTCCGGCGTCAGCTTGCTGTACGCCAGCTTCTTCCCTCCGGCCAAGCTCAAGGACCGCCAGAACCTCAAGCTGAGCCAGCTCGTCGAGACGGTGTCCAAAAAGCCCGTCCCGGCTCACCAGAAGGAGGTTATTTTCGAGATGGTGGCTGAGGACATGGACGGAGAGGACGTGGAGGTTCCCTACATCAAGATGAAGATGGCGTAAGCGGGGCCGTGGTTGAACTTGACGGTATTTGCCGGGATTAAGGCTAGAGCGCTGCAGGGTTTTAGAATGGCCAGCAATTGTGGTCAGCCAAATAGGCAATAGGATCATGGAATAGAGCTCTTCATTTGTTACCTGTGTTGATCGCGTTGCACTGAGGTCAGGTTCGACGGTGTATGTGCCTGCGTTACTAAGCCCGCAGCCGTTAACGCAGACATTTGTAAGCACCCCTGCAGCTGGCGGCTCAGCGTGGGGAAGCGCTGGGTTTACGTCACCATTAGCAATTGCTTAGAATCGTCAAGCTGCCTTAGCTTACCTTAGCCGCGGGGTCTGCGAGTCAACATTGTAAGCTGCATTTGCAGATTGGAAGAGTCTATGGGAGAATTGCACAAGAAATTAGCTAGATGGATCCACTGCTTTGGGGGTGATCTCTGGGAAGTGGATTGCCCGCGCGGTTAATTGAGTCTCGTGGTGTTCCCCTTGTCTACCTTATCTAGATTGTTTGCGTATAATAAGCCCATCCGCCCACACCCCGCTTCTTCAACTTCAACTTCAACTTCAACTTCAACTCCGACGACAAAGTTATTCATGAACACCGGTACCCCTGCACTCACTCGTCTCGCGAGGTCTCTCACGTCGACGACACGAAGGATACCTTACTTGCAGATACATCAACCCACCCGCGTGTTCTCATCCATCCCGAGTTTTGGGGCAGGTAGAAACGTGCCTGTAAAGTACCACACGAGCGCTACGCAGAAAGCATCAACCAAAATGGTGTGTATACGTCTTGTTCCCTTTGACCACCCGAGTCTGGAATTAGAGAATGGAGAATGGATGAAAAATGAAGACACTGACGATGGAGATGTAAAAGGCCGGCAAAGTCACAGACTGGGTGAAACCCAACGACAAGTCGGGCGAATTCAAGCGCCAGCAGAGCTCGTTCCGCAACTTCATCTCGCGCGAGGAGGGGGCCAAATTTGCGCCTGAAAAGGGGCGGTATCATCTCTACGTCAGCTATGCGTGTCCTTGGGTGAGGTTTTTTCTGTGCTTCGTCCCCTTCCGTTATTTTTCTCGCCCACTCCACCGACGAGAATATGAGAACAAAAAAAGACGAGTAAAATCTGACGTGTATATAGGCTTGCCGAACGTTGATTACGCGCCAACTTAAGGGTCTTGAGGACTTTATTAGCTATTCTGTCGTTCATTGGCACCTTGGCGAGAAGGGTATGTGGTCAACTCTTTGTGTCCCTCTCCTCCTCGTCCCTGAGACCGGAAACACATCCGCGCTTCCCGTTGGCGTAAAAGTAATCAAAGCGAGCAAGAAGACTAACAACACACACAGGCTGGCGTTTTGTCACAAAGGACGAAAAGGACATCCCCGGAGCCCACGTCGTCCCCGACCCCGTCCTGGGCCACGAGTCCTACACCCACGTCCGCGACCTCTACTTCGAGTCGGAGCCCGAGTACGCCGGCCGCTTCACCGTGCCCGTCCTCTACGACACCAAGCTCAAGACGATTGTGAGCAACGAGAGCAGCGAGATTATCCGCATGCTCTACACGGAGGTTTGTCTTTCTGGTCCATGATCCATCCGTGGTGAACCGTGAGGCAACACCACTAACACACCCCAGTTCGACGACCTCATCGACGAGAAATACCGCACCATCAACCCCTACCCGGAACCCCTCCGCGCCCAAATCGACGAGGCAAACCAGTGGACGTATGACGAGATCAACAACGGCGTCTACAAGTCCGGCTTCGCCACCACGCAGGAAGCCTACGAGCGCAACGTCACGGCCCTCTTTGAGGCGCTCGACAAGACGGAGGCGCACCTCGAGACCACGGCGGCCGAGGGGCCGTATTACTTTGGCAAGGAGATTACCGAGGCCGATATCAGGCTGTGAGTGCATTCGTCTCTCCTCGTTGGAAGTGTTTCGCTAATAGATGGTGTAGTTACGTGACGATTATTCGGTTTGATGTAAGTGATCCACATGATCCCACGTATTCAATGCACACCTAACACAAAACAGCCCGTCTACGTGCAGCACTTCAAGTGCAATATCCGCGACATCCGTTCCGGGTACCCCCACATCCACAAATGGATGCGCAACCTGTACTGGAACGTGCCGGCCTTCAAGGACACGACGCAGTTTGAGCACATTAAGTGGCACTACACAAAGAGCCACACCCAGATCAACCCCTTCTCCATCAGCCCCGTCGGCCCTCTGCCGCACATTCTGCCCCTGTATGAGGAGGTGCCGGCCGCTAGCAAGTAGATTAGTCACATAATGCAAATTGTCTTCAGTAATAATGCTGTATATACTCTGAATGCTAAAACTCCAGTCATCCGCCATGCGGTGTCCCAAACCAAAGATACAACGTCTGGCTGCCCGGGCGACTTGATCCAGTATTATGCTAAATTCCATTTTATATATCAAAATAACATGCTCCTCCCGGGCCCCCAGTCAAACAAAAATGAGATCCGTCTTTTGGTGTCCCCATATCCACGAAATGATGCATTAAATTAGGTATAGATTGATCACAATTGGCCAGACAAGAGTGCCTCGGTTGCTGTGACAAGTTAGCAAATGTTAAAACAATGACGAAAGCAAAACATACCACTGTTGATGTACTGGCGCTTGGCATCGAGGGGAACGCCGAAGCGGCGCTCCAGCTCCTGCTTGATACCCTTCTTCGTGACGGTCATCAGGTCGGCCGTGCGCAATATCTCGCGGATCTCGGCCAGGAGGGCGTCGTCGCTAGGCAGGCCAACCATGTCCTCGGGGGAGAAGAACTGCGAACCGCCAAACTGGCTGTTGCGGTTGCCGCCAGCATCCGAGGCGGCGAGAGACATGCGCGAGTGGTTGCGCTGCTCGTAGCCCATGCCGGGGGCTCTCGGGGGTGCGTAGCCGCCGGCAATGGAGCCAGGGCGGCTGTGGTAGCCGTACTCGGAGACGGGGACCTGGCCCTTGGTGGCGTAGCTGTAGCCAGACACCTCGGAGCGGGCGTCCTCCTTGACCGTCTGGGCGTCCCAGAGCTCGGCCTGATACTCCTCCCACTTCTTCTTGGGGATGACGGAGGGATCGAACTTGCCCTCGTCGGAGATGACAATCTTCTTGCCAGCCTCGCCGGCAATGACACGGGTGTTACCCCAGTTGAAGTCGTCCATGTGCCAGAAGGCGTACAGAGGCAGGGCGAAACTGAAGACGGGAATGGCGAGGATATACAGAATCATCCAACCAATCATCTCCCACTTGCGGCGAACGATGAAGATGATGGCCTGCAGACCGTAAATGGCACCAAGCATGACGAAAGCCGTGACGGGTACCGTGCTGGGGTTCATGGCGACCGTAACAACCAGGTAGATGATGTAGGCGACGACGACGGGCTGGACGACGGTGGACAGCAAGTCGACAAACACGATGAAACGCATGGAGAAACAGCAGAAACCGCAGAGCTGGGACATGGGAATGAGCTCCATGAGGTTGTGGACGGTCGAGTTGATCCAGCGACGTCTCTGCGAGAGGAAGACGGACCAGGAGTCGGGCGCAATGGTGTAGGCGTGGGCTCTGTTGGTGTACTTTGTCTTGTACGAGTTGTGGAACTTGAGCAGCAGCGTCGTCAGGTATCGATCCTCACCGAGGTGGAGCAGGTTCTTCATGTGCAGCGTGTCGACACGGATGGTTGAGTAGGCTTCGACGACTTCGCGGCTGACAAACAGGGGCTTTCCACTCTCGGAAGCGCGGATGCGGTACATGGAGAAACAACCGGGCAGACAGGTGACGCTGCCAAACAGACTCTCAAAGGCCTTTGTCAAGTTGTGAGAAATCCAGTACTCGTAGACCTGAATCATGGTGACGAACGAGGCCTTTGCGTTGGTCAGCGCCGTCTCACCGCACACGGCAATGAGACGGGTGTCGTTCAAAAAGGCGGCGACCATGCGGGTGGCGGAATCGGGTGCGACGACGGTATCGGCATCGATCTGGAACATGAACTCGTAGAATGTCGGGTTGACACCGATAATGTTGCGGATTTGGTGGTACATTTCGAGCTCGAGAGGGCTCATTGCCAGGTTGTAGTGGACGCGGTTGAGGAAACGCATAAGGACCATTTGAGAATCACGCTTGCCACGGTTACCGGGGCGGGACACCTCGGACGGCTTGCCAATCTTGACGACAACCATGAATGGAACAATGTGGCCCTGGACTTCGTACAGACCCGAGTAGATCTTGCCCATGTTGTGCTGCTTCTGACCTTCGCCGAGAGACTCGAAGCTGAGGGGCTCAGGATCGACGGTATCAGATACGCCCAAAATGTCGAGCACGATGCGCGGCGTCGGCTTGTCGTTACCCTGACCGATAATCATACCGTCGCAGATGACAACGAGGAGCTTGCGCTTATCGTCGTAGTGCATTCTCGCCACGGAATCAATGGCACGGCGAAGAGCATCCTCGTCTTCCGTGTAGGCGGGAATCTGGCACATGACAAACTTGTCGAGGTTCTCCGGCACGTTCTTGCCGCTGAATTGCAGCGCGGCCAGGAACTTGAAACCGATAATGGCGCAGAGGATAATGGAGATGACAAGGACGAGATACTCGGCAAACTGGCAGCGGACCGAGTTACGCGTGTCAACGTCACCTACGTAAAACAAGTTGTCGAGGCACGTCTTCATGCGCTTCTTGGCGGCGGTGTCGAGGGACAGCTTCTCCCAAAGGTCCGTGAGATCGGTACCCGACTTGCCCTGGAACAGCTGCACGACGGCGTCGTCCATGAAGCTGGTGAGGGAGGAGTCGTCGGGAACCGACTCGCCCGCCTTGGCTTGCATCTTGAGACCACCATTCATGTACTGAGTCAGGTCGTACACGCGGCCGCCCATGTAGGCAATGTTTTGCTGTTTGTTGGCGAGCGTCTTGACGTACTGGGGCGAGTATCCGACGGTTCCCTTCTTGTAGTTGGACTTGAGCATAATCATTTGCTCGTAGTACCAATCGGGACGGCTGTCGTTGGTAAAGTAGCGGAAGTCGTGGTACTTGAAGTTGAGGTCGGTCGTCGTGAGCTGCGCGGAGCCCGTCAGGTTGGTGTTGCGGTAGTCCAGCGTGACGTGGGGATCGACGGAGCCGTCCTTGCCCTGGCACAGGGCGTTGACCTGGACGGGGAACAGAGTGCTGATGTCCTTGCCGGCGTAGGCCTTGAGCTGCTTGTTGGTAACGTACGGCGGGTAGTGGCGAGGAGCGTAGGCGCCCAGGTCAACGACCACGCCGCGAATGGCGACGTAGGCCGAGGCATCGTCCACGCCGTCGTTGGAGGACAGTTCCTCGGCGCTGTAGACGTGTTGGGTAGGGCAAATGACCTTAGGGAATAGCATGATGAAGAAGGCGGCAAAGAGACAGAAGAGCCAGATGAGCATGTTGATGGCGAACTTTTCTCTCCATGCCACGCGAATGTCCTTGCGGGGCATGCGGCCCATCTTGCGGATGGCAATGTCCGGGACGAACCAGGTCATAAGGTAGACCATGAACACCCATCGCTTACGGCTGGGGCTGTCCTTGAACTCCTCAACCTCCTCGAGGTTCTTCTCGTTGCCGCGCTCAGCCATCTGCTCTCGGGTGTCGAGGTTCTTGAACATGTCACCACCGCCAAACGCGGACACGCCGGCTTCCGATCGGGCATCGGATCCGTCCTGGCCGCCAAAGTAGCCATTCTTGCCCTTCTCGCCGTACAGGAGGGGAGTGCCTCCGGCGGAGAGCAGACGCTCCTTGGAGGCGGCAAAGGGGGTGTCCTGGGGAGTCATGCCGTCGCCGTTGTCGGACGGCAGGGCGTAGCGGCCAGTGGCAGAGGCGCCATCCGACAGCTGGGCAACCTCCATCCAGCATCTCTCGCTGAGGAAGACACCGGTCGATCCGATCCTGACCTCGTTGGCTGGCCAGTGCCTGTCTTCGACCACGAGCTCGACGCGCTCCCTCTCGGTGCCGACGAGGATGGTATCGGAGTCGGCGAGACCGAGGAACTCGCCAAAGGGGAGGAACAGACTGAAATCCGCCGAACGCAGGCGCTGGCTGATTTCGGCAATACCAAACGTCTGCACTTGAGTGCGGACGCACTTGCTGTCAAACTGGTTGGCAATGCGTCTGTCATTGGGCTTCAGGCAGAAGACAAAGTAGGAGTTGCTGCTGGGGTCGGCAACAGACTTGGTGACGTTGTCGAGAGACGCGAGGAATTGACCAGAGGCGCCCTGCTCGGAAGCCTGCAGCTTGTTGCCTCCAGACTGCGAGTTGCCCTCGCTGAGTCTGTCCAGCTCGTCCTGTGCAGCCTCCTCCTGCTGCTGCTCATACTGCTGGATCCTGCGCTGGTTGCGAGCGGTCCTGGTGGTCTTGCGGGACATGACACTGGGCGCTCTCGTAGGCTTGGAGCTGATGGTGGCCTGCATGACCGTCGACCGCTCCTTGGGGTGGGTGACGGTCTTGAGGGCCTCCTGGCCAAAGAGCCGGGCGACGAACTCGCTCTTGGTCGAGTTGATCATGTTGAGCAAGTCGCCGGAAATGACCTCGCCGTTCTCCTCGATGATGTCCTTGACGGGGTAGTCGACCTCGCCGGCAAAGTGCTTGACGGTGAAGAGGGCGTTGGTGTTCTCGGTGTAGAAGTTGCTTCCGGGCAGTCTAGTGTTGGCGGAGCCGGGGGTGATGGCCGGGTTCTTGCCCTCGAAGCGCTTGCGCAGACTCTCGAGGAATTGCACGTCGGTGCGGTTTCTGCGCGTCTGGTCGTCCAGGATGCTGAGCAAGCCGTTTCCAGGCTTGAGCAGACCCCTGACGGCGTCCGAGTTGTCAAAGTAGCTCGTGGCCGCCACGCTGACCTCTTCGTTCTCCAGCATGTCTGCCTTACGGTCGAAGAAGTTTTGCAGGGTGAGGTTGTAGAGGGCCTCGCAGGCGGCGTTGTTGAGCAGCTGGTCGAGCGCCGAGTGGGTGGACGCTTGCTGGGCGAAGCCGGGGAAATCGATAATGGAAATGGTGTTGGCCACACTGTCATCGGGCGCGCAAATTCTCTGGTTGATGGACTCGACAATGTAGGCAACCAAGAGCGAGTACAGAGTGCGGGCTAGCTCGTTGGCGTGCGAGCGGGCGCCGACGGGGTCCAGCATGACGGTGACTCTCTCCTTGTGAATCATCTTGGTCTTGTACGAGAGGGTGGTCTGCAGATCCTGGGAGCTGACGCCCAAGAAGGCGGCCACAATGGTGAGCACATCCTTGTTCTTGACGGCCGTGACAGTCTGGGCACCCTCGTGGGAGAAGCCGCCGCTGTCGTCACCTTGGGCTTGCGTGTCCGATGTCGTCTCGAACTCGAGCTGGCCAATGTGCAGAATCGTGGCCAGGACCTGGCAGATCTCGGCAATCTCGCTGCGAGGGAACTCGAGCTTCTTGAGGGCATTCTTGAAAACCTGGAAACCCTCCGTGTCGTTGATGCCGACCTTGAGCTGGGTGGGGTGACCCAGGTACTTCCACCTCTTCTGAGGACCGCCGGATGGCGTCTCGAAACCGAGATGGGCCTTCTCGGCCGCGCTGGTGCCGGACATCAGGTAGTACAAAACATGAAAGTTGCGCTCTCCCGTCGGGATATCCGTGATACGGCTACGCTCGAGTCTGTGGTCGAGGAGCTTGGCACCAATCAGGACGGGGTTGGTCGTGGTGGCCGTGTCATACTGCAGCTCGTAGAACAAACCGGCCTTGGAAGCTGTGGGTGTAGTGGCGGTCTTGGTCGTCGTCAAGGTATCAAAGACGTAGGCGGCCAGAGAGACCTTGGTCGAAAGGGGCGTGGAAGACTTGCCGAGGAACGCGGTCAGGAAGTGGGATCGAATGGTTGACTTTCCGGAGCCGGATTCACCCCTATTCACGGTTAGCTATGGCCTTCAGCATCATCAGAACATCGACATACAGGAAGACGACGGATTGGTTCTCCGATCTGTGTCCTAATCTGATCCAGGCCCGGTCTGCAATATCCTCGGCACCGCCCATGGCGCTTCCCTCCTTGCCGCCATCGGGACCCTTTGAGGAAGACGTGTAGGTGTTGAGAGAGATGAGGGCGTGGGACGAGAGGCGAGCGGTCGGCAGCGACACATGGAAACGACTGGCCAAGTGTGCCGTCAACTGCGTGTCTGATTGTGAATGTGCGGGTAGCGAGGGTAGAGAAGGTTGAGTGTGAGCGCCTCCGCCGCTCCCACCGATGGGAGGCAGGTTCATCGCCATGTTGGGCACGACGACGCCAACGTCGATGGACTTAAGATACGCGTGGTGTAGTCAATGGCGGGGTGGTTCGAACGAGAGGCTTTGGTCAAAAGGGGTCGATGTTGGTCGTGTAGAAGAGTCTTGAGATGTTGATTAACGTCAAAGAGCTCAGATTAGTCGTGATAGTAGTAGGCAGGTAAACAGGGAGATTGGCCGAAACCCAAACGAAAGGAGATGTACAAATTGCCAGACTAGGAAACGAGTGTGCAGGGAGAAGTGAGGAAGAGGAATCGAGGAGTCGGAAACAGCAGCGATTTGGGATGGCGAGGCTGAAGGTGGGAAAAGCTCGAGGCACAAAACGAACGAAGTAATCGCTGGTAAAGTGCTGGCAAAGGTCAAGTGCGTCCCGATTTTTCGTGCTCTCTCTCTCTCTCGCCGTCGACTGTCTCCCTCACTCTCTCTTCTCTATGGTAAGGGATGCCAGAGGGCGTAACCGGGGGGAGGGGGGGCGTGGGCAACGGCAACGGGCACCAGGAAAGGGGATTGTTTTCTTTGGGTACGAAAGTACTGCTCTCACGCGAGTAGCGGTCCGGCGGGCGACACGAACACGAGACGCACGACTCGTCCATACGAACTATGTGCCACAGCATCACCCACACACTGTGGGCTGCTGAGAAGCCCGAGGAGTCGACATCAGCTGCCTGAAGCATTGCCTCTCGCTCCCATCCGTTTGTGCTGCAGACAGTGGCCACTGGCCTCGAGGGGTGTCGCCGGCGAAGACGAAATTGACAGACCCCTCCCCCCCTGCTCGAATTTCTTCTCGATTTTTCTCCCCTTCCTTTTTTCCCTGATCTCGGTTCTCATCGCGTAAGCCACATTACACTGTATTCCCCTGTACCCGTCATTTCCTCCGCGGGACTCCTATATTCCTTGCGTTCCCCTCTATTTCCAGCGGTTCTGTGCGGGGTCTTTTGAGCTTGTTCGACATGGAGCACGTTCAGTGTAATGATGCTTGTTGGTGTTCTGCAAAGGTCGACAATCTTCAGGATGACGCCAACAGCGAAGCCTGGATAAATACCAGTCAGATCATTGTGAAGGATAGATGAGTTGTGCATTCAGGAGAACCGATCATCATCAGGGTAATAACCGCGCTCCAAGGGTTGATCCAAAGGCTGGAAGTGGTCTCCGCATATTCCCATAAACCTTGAAGACGCGACTTGGCAGCCTGGCTGTGACAACATTGAGCGGGCTTCGGTACCAGGGGCGAGTGCCAGTGGTGCTGAGAATGCTGAGTTGGCACGTCCAGCATGAAGAATGCACGCGTCTCGCACCACGATGCGCATTTCGCTTCTCTCCCAATCCCGAGTTGATGCCAAGAGAACAACAACTGCCTTTTTGCTCAACAGGTATTTGCCCGGCATCGAATCGCAGAATCAGAGGCGAAAAAGTGGTCGAAACAACAGTTCAAGGTCCGCTCCGCCGGAAGTCTGTTCAACAATCCCTAAACCTTGTGGTGGCTGTTAGCGGACGGATTGGTGCGGTGGCGCCCCAACATTGTGCTTCTCCGCGAATACCGGTACCTTGGACAGAGATTGCGGCCCAGCTTGAACTTCAGCACACAGCTGCTGTGCTACGGGTGTCTCTTGGCGGTGACCTGCTGGCATCGGGGCGCCATGATGGATCATCTCACACTCGACGGCGCCGTGTTGGCGCTGGCCGACGGTTTCCAGCGCGCCGCTAGACTCTCGTCCCGATGGGCGCAGCAAACGGACGGCGGGGATTGGGTGCCATGCATCCATGCCAGCCGATGGGAGCGCTGATATAATGCCATGAAAGAAGGAAACAAGCGACCAGTGACCACAGACGCTGAGGCCGTTGCGTTCCAGCGGGCAGCGGCCAGTGCCTGAAGATCGGCTTCCCTTTTCTCAGATCCTGTGATGGCCCAAGGGAGAGTAGACGGGTCGACTCCGCCCGGGCGAGATTGGCTGATCGGTCCGGTGCGTGGAGAGAAATGTTGTCATCAATGATGCTGTTGACCCGGCGTCTCGAGGAATGCTGAATGTAATTGCGTCTCATCCCTATTCCGGGACAATGTGGTTCGGGTCTCGCAGAATTCTTTGTTTATACGGCTGTGGCTGAGTGTTCCTGGGACACTGTCGACAGCACTTTACAGCGGTGCCCGGTAAGGCAAGCGTTAGAGTTTGGATATCGAGCATGATGCATGATTGATGAGGACGGGCGGGCAGGATTGTTCTGCGGTTCATCCATGATGTTAGGATGGCAGGCGGCAGACGGTCCAAGCCGCGGATGTCCCTGGTGGTCCGGGGCGGCAGACGTGGAGGAGGCGGGCTGATTACCTCGAATTGTCGTCGTCTCAATTAGAGAAGAGAATTGTGGACGTTGTGGATGGGACGGGAGGTACTTCCGAGAGGTACATGTACGTACAGTGCGAACAGTGCGGATTAATTGTGCAGCCGCGTTCCCCGGGGTGTCGGTGCTGGCGGATCCGAGGGAACGTACCTTGGTCATCAACGACACTCAATCATCCATCTTGTTCTTGACAATTGCAGTCTTGATTTCACTCCCGGAGGCTGGACAATGCAGGGCGACATTCGATGAAGAACCAGTGAACCACCAGAGAAAATTCAGCAAGGAACGGAGAAAAAGGGGGCACCGATGCAGATTGCAGAAGCAAAACCGAGAAGCATGGGGATCAATCCATTGGATCTGGAAGCAGCCGGCGAGTTCCCATCGGCCGCTAAAAGGTCCAAAAAAAGACCTGCAGCACATGATAATGGGGCTCATGGTTCCTTGTGGGCATAGCGTGTGTCCATAAATCAAGGTAAAGCAGAAAACCCTGTGTTTGGCGGGAACATAAAAATTGCACACTCACATACTCCATGTAGGAAAAAACAACAATGCGGCGCTCAAGAGCACAGCCTCACGCCGAGACTCCATCATGCCAGTCATTCAAACCAACCACCAACCACACCATTACCACAGTCCCCAAGACCAACCACTCAACTTGGACGCGCTCTTCATTCGGCCAAGCCAAATCCGACCCTCTCCTCTCCGCTGACCAATGGCTCAGGTTCCATGATCATGCTGTCAGCATCAGACACGAACACACAAAGTCTCCAGGTCGGCCACACTCGTCTCGCACCCGCCGTCGCGGCTCCGCTTAAGGTGGCCCTGTCAGCGGCACTTGACGACAACAACAGCGACGCTCTCAGTGCTTCGATACGAACAACACCAAGATGCACGGCCCACCACCTGTCCATGTGTACGAAATAGAGAACAGCTGCACAGCTCCATTAGTCTGCCGCGAGGGTTGCTGCACCCGCCACCAAACATCCCACATTGCAGTCAACTCGGACGCTTACGACGTTGTGCTTAAAAGCTTATGCATGATAACAATACACATCCATCACGGTCGCCATGACCGAGTCAATAGCTGCACCTGCGTGGATCCGATATACCGGCACTGCTAGACAACATCCAGGGGAGCACAATAATACTACACAACAGCCTTTGCGCTGCAGCACGCCGTGATGCCATTGCCAGCATGAACGCGAAATCCTGCTTGGCCTTTCACACGCTTGGAAGACACCCGCTCTCGCATCGGCATGCACTTCCTCTCTCAGCAGTGAGCAACAGTGGCATTTGATGTACCAAAGCATTGCGGTGCGATCGGATGGGTGGGCCGACTCTCATCCCCATGGCTCGTATTTGTTCCAAGAAAAGGACTGCCCGCGGCCAGATCTACAGTCATTGCCAGGCTAGCCGGGGCTCTCGTTGGCCACCACAGGATGCGCGACTGACGACTGTGGACTCGTGGAGACGGGCTCTTGGGGGCCTTGCTAGCTGGGTCCTGATCACCGGGGGTGGTTGGCACTTGGATCCACGTCGTTTTCCTTTGGGTTCGAGTTTGGTTTTGGCCGTGTTGCACCTCTGTCTCTGTTCAAGTATCGATGGAGCCAAGCCTCGTCCTGGTGTTCCATACTGACGAGGTTGCTACAGCCTACAGCTTACAGCTCTGAGCATCAGGTCAGCTCCAGCCTCAAAGTCAGCGTCCGTCGTGAAGCAGTCGGCCGATCCTCGATTCAGTCAGCTCCAGGTAGTCCACCATGGTGCAAGGCACATGCGGTCGGGCTAAGTTTAGGGACCCGAGCTTGACGGCAACGTCGCCAGGGTTCCCCTTCTGATGGCAAAAATTTGGCCGGGGGCCTCTGGACTGAGACTATGCGTCTTTGGTCCGTCTCACTAGCCCCAGTTCAGGGGTCAAGACAAGGAAGCCCAGAGAAGAGAAGGGAGGGAGAGGAACAATGCACACACACAAGCGCTCGAATCCGTACTGTATTTTTGGACATGCTCTGAAGGCTACAGAAACTGGTGGTGTGTTGATGATCCCTCGACTTAGGTATCTATTCCTACTGTGTTCGTGAGAGCGGTACCTCGGACAGCACGAAAAGAAGCATCTTCTTATCCATCATTACGAGACCCACGCTCCAGGTCTTCGCCTTGTCTGCCGCCTGTGCCTTTTAGCTACCTTACCTATTAGCGGACGCTCGTTTGCCAGACACTCCGGGACTGTGTACGGAGTAGAGAAAATAGGTCATTCTCTGTCTCTGGGTGTCTCCCCCCCTTTCGCTCGCCACTTTCTTCTAACTCGACACTCAACTTTGAAAGTGTCCAAGAGACTATTCAGCCCTTATTCCTCTCAAACCTCCTTTCCTATACAGACGCCTCACTCGTTTTGGTGGTCTGCCTACTCTATCGCTAATTCGTTACATCCTCTTCCTTTTAATTTTTTGCCTTTGCTTGTTGATCGCCGTGTTTGCGTTTTGCAAGAGAGGAGAAAGAAAGGGAGAGAATCCGGCTGCAGCTTCATCAGACACCACCAAAGCCGCGTTGCTCAGTCGACAAATCGTGCAGGAAATATTACGCCTCTTTTTTCTACCTACTACCTTAATCATCACACCCTTCTAGACACTCGCTTCGTTCAACGACTTCCTCGCCCCAGCTTCGTACCCATTGAGTCCCGTTCGTTAGACCTCATCGTCTTGTTTACCTTGGACAATACCACCGACTCCGAATAGCGTCTCGTCCCTCGACGTGTTTGTCCGCGCCGGACATCACGAACCCAATCCCATCACCATGGCGAGCGGTCGAATGTCCATGTACTCGGTGGCCTCCGAGGGCATGGGAGGTCCTCGTGCCGGCCAACAACCCTCGCAGTTTTCCACCACGACCCTTCTCAACGCCATTCACAACATCTACCTGTCGAACCAGCCCTTCAAGCTGGACGCCGGCACCAGCCTTGTCGTCAACACATGGCTTACCGCGGCACAGACCGGACCGGATGGAAGGACAGGAGGCACCATAGACCCTACCCTCGGTGCCAGAGCATGGGAACATGCTCGCCGCCGTGCTGAGGATGGCTGCATCATTCTTGGGTAGGCCTTGAGTTCACACAATCGACTGGCAACAATTGCTAACGCTGCACAGTTCCCTCCACACATCGAGCCCCTCCGTCCTCACGCCGTTCCTCTCATCTCTCCCGCTCAACATCCCGTCATCCGTCTACAGGTCACTCGAGGCCATCCAACCTTTCCTGAGATGTTCCACCCCCTACAACCCCTCCACTTCCAGACAGTCTGCCCTCGGCGTCACTTTGACGCTCAACCTGGCCGGTAACTTCCAGGGAGCCGCCATCGCCCTGTCCCAGGGTGGTATCGATACCGCCAAGGGCTTGCTCAACATCCCATCCGAACCGGGTTACCGCGCCTTTGACGTCTTCTACTACCTGTTGACTTCGGTCTCGACGCCCGCCGAGAGAGAGTTTTTGGGTCTCAAGCCTGCCTCCAGCTATGCCTTGCTCGCGAGATCCGGCACCTACGACCCGCCATCCTACCTCCCCACCGCTGATGATGCCGCTGCCGCCGATGACTTTAGAACCGCCCTCAAGGACATTGGTATCAAGGGCTCTGCTTACCGTAACCTCATCTCTACCCTTGCCGGCCTGCTCAAGCTCGGCGACACCCTCGACTACAACCTGGACGAGGACGTCTTTGACGAAATCTGCGAGGATGTGAGCGGCTTGCTGGGTATGGACCCCGAGACCCTCGCCACGCAGTGCACAACGCAGGACCGGTCAACGTTGGTTGGCGGTCTGTACGAGGCATTGGTCGACTGGGTCATCTCCAAGGCCAACGAGGCGATTTCTGCGCAATCGGCACGTATCAGAGACGGTACCGAGTCCATTGCAGGTGGTGCCCGCACGCCCACGTCCCACGGTGACGGCGACACCGTCTGCATCACCATCGTGGACGTCCCTGACCCAACCCTGGGCAAGGCGTTGGCCATGCGTGGTATCTTTGACGACACCGTGGGCATCAACTCTGAGATGATTGCCGACGGCATTGAGGCTTCTCCTGCCGGCAGCACCGTCGTGCGTGAGATGCAGACGGCCATTGCGGAAGTCGGCCACGAGCTTGGCATCATGTCGGGCGCCGCTGGCAAAGACCGCCAGCACGCCCTCGAAAAGCGTGAAGAGGTCCTCGAAAAGATTGGACACTCCGCCGACGATGACGCATTCCTCAAGAAGCTGCTCTTCCCGGTTTCCGGCCAAGGTATCAACCTGGGGCTTGCTGGACGTCTTGAGCTCTCGTCGCTCCTCAGCTCCAGCCGTGTGTGGTACCACCTCTCGATCCACCCAACCGACGACTCTCCCGCCAGCTTGGCTGCTCTGCCTTCAGTGAACTCGGCCTGGTCAGCCGGCACGGTTTCTCGCCAACTTCGTTCCTGGAGGCTGCCCGAGTGGGCCAACAGGCGGAACAAGAACCTGGACTTCACCGCCGATTTCGATATCGACGAGTTTGTCCAGCGATACGCTGCCCTGGGCTGCCAGGACGGCCGCGAGGGCATCGAGACGTGGATTCTCGAGCGCGGATGGACCAACGGCGAGGTCGTCGTTGGCAAGGAGCGTGTGTGGACACGTGAGAGCGCTTGGTGGGAGGCGGAGAGCATGCTCGACATGAAGCCCCTCGACAACAACCTCCCCGGCATGGGCAACGTGCTGGGGGTGAACAACTTGGAGTCTGGCTACTCGGCAAACGGCAGCGGCTACTTTCCGACGCCCATGCTGGACACGACGCCCAACGGTAGCCGTGATCACCTCATTGCCCACCAGCGCAACGCCAGCCAGGGCAACCTCTCCCAACACACCCTCGCCCACAATGCCGCGATGCGTGCGCCCTCTGTCGCTCCCTCGGGCATGCGCACCGTCCAGAACGGAGACTACGGTCTCGGCACCAAGGGTGATAGCTACAAGGGCCAAGTCTTTTACAACAACGAGG